AATTCCACGGAGAGGCCTTTCAGGGCCTGCTTCAGGCTGCCCCAGGCACTGTGGTTCAGAGCCGCCCAGGAAGGCAGCGGGGTCGTGTCCGAGCCCAAGGCACTGCCGGAAGAAGGAGGGGGGTGGTATCTGTGAAGACCCTGCCAAGCCTTTGCACCAAACCCCCTCCCCCCTGTGTGCACCCAACGTCCAGCCCTCTCTAAGCAGTTTACAGAGTCAGCCTCTTGCCCCCCCCCAACAATCTTGGTCCTCGTTTTACCCACCTCAGAAGGACGGAAGACTGAGTCAACCTTGAGCCAGTCAGAATTGAACTTCTGACAGTGGGCAGAATCAGCCTGAAATTCTGCATTCTATCCTCTGTGTCACCACGGCTTGCTTGCTTGCTTGCTTGCTTGCTTCCTCCTTTCCTTCCTTTCCTTCCTTTCCTTCCTTTCCTTCCTTCCTTCCTTCCTTCCTTCGCAAGCTACAGCAGACCTATATCCCGCTTCACAGTGCTTTTAACATCCCTCTCTAAGCGGTTTACAGAGTCAGCCTCTTGCCCCCAACAATCTGGGTCCTCATTTTACCCGCCTCAGAAGGATGGAAGGCTGAGTCAACCTTGAGTTGGTCAGGATTGAACTCCAGGCAGTGGGCAGAGTCAGCCTGCAAATACTGCATTCTAACCACTGCTCAACCGTGGCTCTTAAAGATAGCACTTAGACTTATACACTGCTTCACAGGGCTTTACATCCTTCTCTAAGCGTTTTATGGAATCAGCCTCTTGCCCCCAACAATCTGGGTCCTCATTTTACCCACCTCGGAGGGATGGAAGGCTGAGTCAACCTTGAGCCTGGTGAGATTCGAACTGCCAAATTGCAGTCAGCTGGCAGGCAGCAGAAGTAGCCTGCAGTACTGCACTCTGACCACAGCGCTACCACAGCTAATTGCACGCCATTTGCCCAACATCTAAAATTCAGGAATGGGGGCTGCTGAAAAAACTTTGAATCTGGGCCGTGAGTAACCCCGGGAGGTCTGTCCTAACTTCGAAGAATCGCTACCGGCCATAAGCCGAGGACCACCTCTAAAGAAATGGCGGCTCAGCCCCAAGGCTTGACGTTCAGAAAGCAGGTGGGTCAGTCTACGCCCACTCACCTTAGCTCCTTCCCAAAGAGGAGAAGGTCTGAGGCATTGTCCACCGCCCGGGAGGCTATTCGCTCGGTCCGGTCCCTGAGTTTGTAGAAGCTGTTGTAGATGTTCCTGATCAATTCTCGGCTGGCCGCAAACTGGATTTGGATGTCTGTAGGCAAATACTCCTGAAAGAGGGGTAGCAAAGTTCAAGAGACTCAACGACAGCTACATGGGGATGTTACAGGGGCGCCAGATTGGGGAGGGGTAGCCAGTTTCCATATAGCTGGAAGAGTCCTACATAGCAGGATATGTTGACCCCAGCTGGTACAGTCTTCCCCAGCCTGTCCTTCTCAATGCAGCTCAAGCATCTTATGTCAACATTTCTCAACGTTGGCTGCTTTAAGATGGGTGTCAGGGGCATCCAATGGGACACATCCATAGCCAAGAGTCATCAATCATGCTCTCCAGTAATAATCTTGCGCGCCAGAAGCTTCGGTCTCCTAGAAATTATCTATAAGCATTTAAGGAATGCACTTCTTCCCCAACTCCCTTTCTGCTGGCAACTCTAAAAGACCAGAGAAATATTTTTGAGTTGGGTAGACTTCTGGGAATTAAAGTCGGCCCATCTTAAAGCTGGCTGGGGAATTCTGGAGTTGAAGTCCACCCATCTTAAAGCAGCCAATGTTGAGAAACACCATCCTAAGTGACCAGGATTGAGCCTTTGTAACTCTCTGTTCCAAACAGAAGTCTTCTGCTGAAGCTACACCACGTCCAGGTCTCTAACAGGAGATGATACCTTTGCTTGCATTGCGAACTTGCAGACCATGAATTCATCTCCCACACCTTGGACCAACTCCCTCAGCTTGTTCTGAACATCCTGGAACAACAAGAAGAAGGTAAGTAGAAAGAGGGAATCCAAAAGGGCAGACAGGAACTGGAGAGCATTCCTACAACCATCAGTGGAGTTTAGCAATGACGATCTCCTTTCCCATTCCTGGAGTCTTACTTCTATCAGCATAAAGTGTCAACATTTTGTGGTCTCTGTGAAGGAACTAATAATATCTCATCTTTGACTCAAAGGTCACCCCTGGATTCTATGTGTAGGAGTTGTAGGAGTTTGAGATACCATAAATTAACTAGAAACATGAAGTGTCCATGGACTGAGTCAACATCTGTCATCTAGTTCATTGATGTTGGGATGACCCTAAGTAAGATCATGTGCTAGATTGACCACCACAAACTTGGTTTCTCTCCTTCCCTGGATATACATGAAAAATTACTAGTTGCCTCAAGATCCTGTAAAGGTTGGCCATCTAAGAAAGTCCTGCTGTGGACAACGTTATGGTAGATATCTAACTAGTAGGAGGCATCTGGCAAACCAGCACTAGATAAGCCAGCAGGCACTGATCTCTACAACATATTCAATTACCCACCGAGTCCTTCTCAGGCACACTTACCGACCCACTGAAAGAGAGGAAGAACTTCAGAAGGACATCTTCTGAAAAAGGAGGGTGTCGCGCCACCAGATTGATGAAACGCTTCAAGGCACGGCGCCTGGTCTCGATGAATTCTCGGTCAGCTGGAGGAATGGAGAAGATCCAGGTTGAGGAACCTCAATCTTCAAAACCTTCCTGATAGCTTTATGCACAAAAGGAAGTCCCACTTCTTCTATCAATTCCATCCATAAGCTATGGTCAACAAGACACCAGGATTGTGATTCCCAACACAATGCCTTGGTTGACTAGGAAGCCTGATAGTCATAGTTCCAACCCATTGGGAAAGACCAGGTTGGGGAAGGTCATCATGGATGGCCTTCCTGGAGTTTAGTTACCTCCCATCTTGTCCCTTCCAAGCTTACCTCCTAACATCCTCTTGGGAGGTAAGCCAGGAACCATACGGTAGGGGAACTTCTGAAGGAGCATCTCATGGAAAACCACAAAGTCGTTATACCGCCGGTAAACGGAGCACCTAAAACGCTGTAGGGAGAACGAAGGAGTCCATTCAGAGCTTCCTCAAAGGAGATGCTGGAACTCTCGGCCCCTTGGACCAGAAACAGAAGATCTCAATACTCTCTAGTCCAGCATCTCCTGGCTTGAGACCAGATTACTTAAGGGACCCTGGTTGTTCCTACCCATCCCATCTCATCCGTCAAGACGGGCACACTCCACATCTCGTTGGCTAAGGAATGCCAGCAGGTGAATCCCAGAAGATATGTCTTGCCTGCCATAGTTGTTCACCCTATGGAGCTTTCTCCCACCAGAGATGAGATTGGCCCCAGTACTGCTGGCCTTTCACAAGATCCCAAGACTTATTTCTGTGCCCAGGCCTGGATCCCCAAGTGGGATCTACAACAACATGCCACAGCCAACTCACCATAGGACAAGTCGTTGCAGGGCAAGAGTTACACTAATATTGAAGAAATGGTGGAACAGAATAATTCAAGAAAGGATGAAAAAGGAGGGACGATGTGAAATGCGAATGACAAAAAAAAAACGAAATAATCTTTAAACTATTTTAAATAATTAAATTGAATTGTTAAATTGCTCCCACAGCGAGTTGGCCCATTCTGCCTTAAGTGTGTGAAAGGACCCATTTCCTGGTTGTGTTAACAATTGTTGCATTTCTCATGAACGAAGATGGATCTACGTGTCCCAGGACAATGTTGCAGGATCCAATCCGGGTCGGTCACGGGAACCAAAGGTTTAGTCTTCCGAGTTGGAGCTCATCCTTAGGAAATTTCTCTAGCCTTTCCCTTGGCCGCTATCTACTTTTGATTTCTGCCGTTGTTATTATTTCTATTTTTACTTCTCACATTGTTCCCTGCCCAGGTCTCCTTATTGGGACAGGGAGCTAGCTACAGCGATTCAGTAAATAAATAAATAGACCTTGTCTGGAGCGATGGGCAGCTAGTTAAAGGACTCGGGTGAGAACGAGTTTATCTGTTCACCCCTTGCTTAAACATCCAAGAATCCGCCTCGTCCTCCCTTCGCAACAGATCCAAACAAACCACAACTGCCACATCTTGCAGCCATAAATCCTCCCGAAAAGCTAAATGATGCAACGAGCTGGAAGTTTTTCCCCCTCACCTTCACTGCTGCAGTTTGAATCACTCTGAAAAATAAGCGCTAAGAAAAACCTGCCGAGAGCAAATGTGGGAAGAAAGAAGCAAAACAACCAAGTCCTTTTTGCAGGGAGAAATCATTTCTTTCAGGAGATGCTTTAAAATGCTTTAAATTGGGATTATTTTTTTTCCCCCACCGGCCAGAGAAATGGATTGAAGTCAGTCGATTCAGCTGCTCGCCCACGATTGAACTGGCTGAAATCGATACAGCTTTATCAATTCCCTAAAAGCACGCCAAGTAATGTTTATCAATGGAATAATATTTTGTTCTTTCTTCTACCTGGCAACCTTCTTTGCCAATCTTAGCATCTCACACTATAGTTGTAGATTATAGTTGCAGATTATTTTTTAAAAAACTTTTAAAATGTAGAGATTATTCCTACAGGAGGTCTTTCCTACAGCCAGCTGGCATTTAACTTTTAGATTTAAATATGGAGATGGAAAGCTTCCTAAGATCTAAGCAATTGATTTTATCAATTGATCTTGTGTAAATCCAATCCAACCAAGCCGTTATTATTTATTATATTGATTACAGAGAGGCTCCACAACAGTGGAAAAGGAGTCCTTTCTTCTCCTTGTCCTATAATCTGTTTGATAGTGTTATTATAAAATATAAGAAACCCATTATATTATCTGACAACAGTTCTAACCAAGGGTTAACCCTCAGTCCTTTTGCAACCTTGGCAACCTGGCTGGTTGGGGAATTCTGGGAGTTGAAGTCCATCCATCTTAAAGCTGCCAAAGTTTGGGAAACACTGTGTTAGAGGTTTTTTGTTTTTTTAAGTAGAAGTTTATATCCTATTAACTGTGGTTTCTAAAATGTCGTTGTAAATTTGCACAAGGGGGTGTGGACCATTTGCATCCAAAACTAAAACCAGCATTGATAAACAACTGCAAAATAGAGACATTCTCTCTTTTTTTAGGAAGAGGCGGCTTTCCCAAGACACGGGCCTGTTGCAACTCTTCAGCTAAGAGCCAAAAGAAGTTGCTTCATTCTTTCCTCAGACCAACCTAATGGCTTTCTGCAAATACACCCCTTTTATTCCTCAAGCTCAGCCCACCCGGAGGATCAACCGAGTTGCTCAAAGCCAAGCCCAGGAATCGAACCGTATTCCTCATCACCAACCTTGCTGGAGACTTCATATTCCACGTGCTTCAAAAACAGCCCCTTTTTCTCCGGGATTAACTGCACTTGAACGGTGTCCTTGCTCAAGAGCTCCTGCAAGGTGTGAGGGAGGACCAAGGGGCTTCCGGGACGCTTCTGCATCGGGGGTTCTTCTGGGTCCTTGGGGTCACTGACCTGAGGCTCCCCCAAGTCTAGAGGAGAAAGAGGAATAGCAAAAGGAGATGCTCTTCTTGAGAGGGAAAAAAAAAAAGGCAGGGGGAAGAAACGTACGGCTACCCAATCTGCAAGCTGCTCTTGCCCAAACAGGAACACACCTACCTTGGGAGAATTATCTCTACCTGCCTAAACTACCCAGAAATGTTTCAAAAAGCAGTTGGATCTGCTGGGCCAGGGGCCAAAAAATGGAGGGAGCCAGCCGAGCGGCTGGTAATTCTTGTCAAACTGGCTCTTACTAAAGATCAAAACGCAGCAAAGCCTACAGCTGGCATTCTTGATTCCTGTTTGCAACCAACTATGGAATGGGAGGGGTGTGTGTGTGTGTGTGTGTGTGTGTGTGTGTGTGTGTGTGTGAAGATTTCCATGCCAGAAGAAAGAAAAAAAAAAAGCACCGTCCATACTTCCTATCTGCTAAAAGAATGTTCATGGCTAAATTTTTGGGAGCCAAGGAGGTTGGGTGAAGGACAGTCGCCCGCTGGAGGCCGTTGCGCTTCCCATGGCCGTTATTTTATCTGCCAGAGCCTTTTCCAAGGTGAGGCTCTCCAGAGGTGTCCACGGGGAGTTGTAGTCCCTACAAAAGGTCTAGGTTGGAGGACATCAAATAATTCAAGGCAAGGTTTCCATCCATCACATTGAACCAGCTGCAACACGGCTTGGATTTGGCTCTGTTGTGTAAACCCAACTGCTGGGTTTTTGCATATGGGGGTTGCACGAAGCCGGCCGATTATGGTTTACCCCAGAAAAATCATGGCTAAGAGCAAGGAATGAACCCGGGTGAAGACTCGTGCAGCCAGTCTTTGATTTCCAACAGTTCATTCAGCGTCTGTTCAAAGTTACAACGGCACTGGAAAAAAATTACGTTAGGAACGTTTCTCACAATCACGAGTGTTGCAACGTCCCTGTGATTTAAATTCAGGTGTTTGGCAACTGACTTGTATGACTTACAACCCCCACGCATCCCTTTTTGCCTCCTGGGAGAAGCAGTAAGACAGCGAGGGGGGTCCCGGAACAGCTGATCGTCGGAACAGCTGATCGTCAGAACAGCTGATCATTGGAAAGAAAAAGAAAGAAAGAAAGAAGGCAGGTAGGGGAGAACGCAGTCAGCGATATCACACATGCATGATAAGGATTGGCTGGGCAGAGAGGGACGGAGCCAGCCAGGGGCGTGATTTGCCAGTTCTCCGAACTGCGCAGAATCGTAACAACCGGTTCTATAGAACCACTCCGAACCAGTAGAATCCCACCCCCTGGACCACGAGTTCTAGTCCCGCTTTGGGCACTGAGACAGCTGGGTGGTGGCCTCAGGCCAGTCTGTCTCTCCAAGCTCTTAGAAGGAGCCGAGGGCAAACTTTCTGGAAAACCTCGCCAAGAAAACAAGGACTTGTCCAAGCCCCGTCTCCGAGAAGCAGACAGGATTGAACAGAATTTTTTTTTTTTCAAAAATAAAATAAATAAAAGAACAGTTTGAAAGCCAAAACATTCTTTTAAGGTTACGATGCCAGGTGGCAAAATCTCTCAACATCCATTCCAGGCCAACGCGTTCCAAGGCACGCTCTGTTAAAAGCAGGAGCCAGACAGCGCACTCAGCAACACCCCAAAGTCCAAGGTCCCTTCCCAGAGAGACAAAAATGATTCCCCTGGAAGGAACAGAGCAAATCCCACTTGGAGGAGGCGGGGAGAGAGAGAGAGAGAGAGCAGGAAAAAATAATATCAAGGATTCCTCATCTCAAGCCCTGGCAAAGCAGAGGGAAATGGGGCTCTCCAACAAGCAAAAACCAGATGTTTCCTTGCCACTGTATCGCCAAAATAAGCCACGGAAAGCCTTTTTCTCCACGTCTCACCGATTCTGGGGTTAAACGGGGGCGGGGGGAGAGGGAGAGGAAGAGAAAGTGAGAAAGAGAGAGAGAAAGAGTGAGAGAGAAAAAGAGAGGAAGAAAGTGAAAAAGAGGAAGGGAGGGAGAGAAAGAGAATGACAGAAAGAGAGAGAAAGAGAGGAGAGAGAGCAAGAGAAAGGGAGCGAGAAAGAAGAAGAGAGAAAGAGCAAGGGGGAGAGAGAGGAACAGAACGAGAAAGAGAGAGAGGACGAGAGAGAAAAAGAAAGAGAGAGAGAGGAAAAGCAAGAAAGAAGGAGGGAGTAAGGAAGAGAATGAGAAAGGGAAAGAAATAGAGAGAGAGAAAGATAATGAAAAAGAGGGAGGGGGAGAGGGAGGGAGAGAGAAAGAGAGAGAGAAGAAAACAAGAGCTACAATGGAATGCAAAGAATCAGCAAAAGGCAATAACTGAAAACAGGATAACAGGGACATCAGCCCCAAATCAAACCATCCAAGGTTGTTTACTGCCGTTTTGCTTCCTTTTTTTTTAATCCAGCTTGTAAAAGGGAAAAAGGAGAAGTTTAGAAATACCAGTCGGGAAGCGTTGTAATTTCCCATTCAGAGTTTCTTATCAATAAAAGTTTAGGGTTTCCTCCCCAATTTCTCAGGAAATCCCCCCTCCCCACACACACTCTTTTTAACATTTCTAGAATTCATCAGAAAATGGAAGTGAAACGATTTCAGAAAAGTAACACAAACCGACGTACTTCTGCAATTTTCTGGCCCGAGGAAAGAAAAATAAGAGAAAACCCTGCCAAATAATTTTCAGCAATGAGAAACAGCTGGGAAAAAAATAAATTTTTTCAGTTTTTTTTTTTTATTATTTAAAAAAAACAGGCTGTGCGGGATTCAAGACACAAAATAACCCGCTTGCGATGCCAACCTGACCACCGATGAATGGCATGGCCTTTAAGTCAAGTTCCAAGATTCATTTCTTTGGTTTAAATCCTGCAAAAAAACAACAAGAAAACCTGCCTCTCCAAATCTCAGCCCCAATCCATTCCAGGCTTGCAAAGAAACCTTAAGAAATATTATTTTTTTTAAATGGAGCTTGGGGAGGGATGGCAAGCGACGGCCTCCTTGCGGCTTACAACTTGGAAGAGCCGAGTTCAAATGCTGCTCGGCCAAAGATCATCAGATTATTGGGGTGGGTGGGTGGGGGAGCTCGCTTATTACATCAGACCGATTTGCCTGGATAATAAGATAAGATGGCCCGCCCCTCTCTCTTCAGAATGGGGGGAAGCCATGACCAGAATTTGCAATACAGGGATGGGTCCTCCTCTTATGGGCGTTTTGTTTTGTTTTTTTTAAAAAAAGATTTTTATTTTTTAAGACAAACATAAAAACATAAAACCATCTTCCAATTATATACATACAGTGTGTCAATTGGTTACAAATCTTTTGTGCTATCCTTTCATAGTCCTTACGCACAAGTTGTATAGGTCCTCAAATTATCAATTTGACATATGCTTATATATTTATCAGTTATTAACTAAACTATTGTTATTGACTAAACTATTATTCCATCATTTTATATGAGATATTCTAGATTTTATTATAAATTTATATTATATATTCATCCAATGGTTATATATTTTGTGTTATATTCTATATCAATCTATTGATCTTCTGTTATGAAATTTAGTCTATTTCATTTCTCTTATGGCTGTTTTGTTTAGTGACTGTTCGAAGTTACGACAGAGCTGAAAAAAAGGAGACTGAGGAGCAGTCCTTGCGCTTAAAATTGTCCCCACAGCATCCCAAGTGGGAGGGCTGTTTTTAAAATCACCTTTTTCAACACTGCCGTGACTTCGGACGCTAAACTGATGGCCGTTAAGAGCTGGCGGCTTGGCAACTGGCACAGGCAGTCCTCGGCTTACGATGGCAGTGGAGCCCAAAATTTATGTCGCTAAGCGAGGCGTCTGTGAAGTGAGCCTGGCCCCGTACTTACGATTTTTCTTGCCACGTTTGTTAAGGGAATCGCTGAAGCTAACAGATAATCAAGAGTTGGAAGGGACCTTGGAGGTCATCTAGTCCAACCCCCACCCCAAGCAGGAGGCCCTACACCATTTCTGACAGATGGCAGTCCAGTCTCTTCTTGAAAGTCTCAATTAGGCAGGCAGTCATTAAGCGAAGCAGGCTTCCTCATGCACTTTGCTCTTCAGAAGGTAGCAAAAGGGGAATCGCGTGACCCCAGGACGCTGCAACTGTCATAAATGTGAACCAGCAGCCAAATATCCGAATGTAAATCATGTGTGAAATGGGGATGTTGCTCTTGGCAAGACAGTTAACACCAGCACTGATGAGGTTCCCTAGTTGCATCACGAAACGTCTGCAAGAAAGCAAGAAAGCTCCAAGAGAGCCAAGGACCCCACAGTCTTCCTTCCTCTCCTCTTCCTCTTCCTCTTCTCCGCAAAAAAACAAAACAAAACAAAAAACTCACTCCCTTCTAGCACTGCTGATGCTACCTAGTTGGGTAATGAAACGTCTGTAATAACAATAGCACTTAGACTTATATACTGCTTTGCAGCCCTCTCTAAGCGGTTTACAGAGTTGGCATATTTGCCCCCAACAATCTGGGTCCTCATTTTACCCCCCTCGGAAGGATAGAAGGCTGAGTCAACCTTGAGCCTGTTGAGATTCGAACTGCCAAATTGCAGGCAGCCGGCAGTCAGCAGAAGCAGCCTGCAGTACGGCACTCTGACCATTGTGCCCCCGGGGCTTGTAAGAATGTAACCAAGACCACCACGGTCCTTCTCCTTCCTGCAAACCCCACTCCCTTCTAGCACTGATGATGTTCCCTAGCTGGGTCATGAAACGTCTACAAGAAAAACCACCAAGCTTATTATAAAATAAAATGGGAAGTGCTTGATGATTAAAATTAAAGAAAATATATAAAGTAGGATCAAGATAAGTTATTAAATGTGAAAGCAGAATAGGAAATGAAAGTCAAGGTTGTAATGGAAATGTGTTAACCTGGAATCATGCTGTTCACCAAAAAGAGATTTTTTTCTTTCTTTCTTTAATATGTGAAAATTGAATAAAGCTTTTGCAAAAAGAAAAAGAAAGAAAGAAAACCACCAAGCTCAGAGAGCACCAGGGACCCCACAGTTCAAATATTCTCATTTATTGGTAGAGTTAACACAGCAAAGAGGCCCAGGACACACACACACACACACACACACACACACACACAGAGGGCATCTCCAAGGCATTTGCTGACCCTACATGCAACAGACGGTTGTCTGAACCAGCAAACACATCCCTTACGCAGAGCAGAATCTGTTCCCGGCTTTCTGGAGCCTAAATATTGGAAATATTAGCACAAGATCACACAGGCACCCGAAGGCTTTAAGCTCCCCGGGGAAAACAATGGCAGAAAACAAACACAAGACACAAAGGAGCAGATAAAGAGCCTGAAGCAGAGACAGCCACGCTGGGGACAGGCGGGCAGGCAGGAATACCTACTACAGGGCCAACATTACTCCATGGAGCCTGGAGAAGCATCGCAGGAAAAGCCTCGTGCCCTGAGCTTGCTTTTTTCCCCTCCGACCTCACATTTTATTCCTTGCGCGCCTTCCCTCTCAGCCTTTAAAATCCAAGCTCTTTTCCCCTTTTTGGGTAAAGAGAGAAGTAAAAATGCTACAGATAAATACAGGGGCCCAAACCCTGGTGCTGTTAAGAAATTAGTCAGAGGTTTGTCAGCCCAAGAAAGCTCAGAGGCAGGAAAGGAAGTTTTCTAGGAAATGAGAACAGATTGCATCCAGTCCAGGGGAGAGAAAAAAATATATGATGCATCAGAGAACTTTCTCATGTTAAAAACCAGAAAGTGCAAAGTTAACTGAGTGCATTGTGGGCATTGTTTTATTTCCTTTGCTCTCGTTCAATTCCTGCCTAGAAAACTTCATCAGCCCATACTTGGGTTGGGTAATACGCCGAGTTCATTGTGTAGAAAAAAAAGAGAGAGATGATCGAGCAAGTGAGCCAATTGGCATAAAACACAAAAATAAAATCCAGGCTTTAGCAGCCAGCACAAAAAGCCAGAAAAATGAGAACCAGGCAACTAACAGGCACGCGTGTTGAGAGTTGGGTTGGATTCATGCCTATCAAGCCATATTTGGGTTAATGTTGGTTTATTGAAGGTAAAACATCTTTGGCTGGACTAAGGCAGCATGACGAGCCACAAACCACAGTTTCCAGGCCACAAAGGCTGGCCTTATCTACCTAGATGCACCCTAACCTCCCACACACCACATGAGGCTGTCACAACGAGTTGTGTGAAGTCATGATAGGCAACTCATGATCCACATAACCAGCTCGGTGTGACCACAAATCCACCATGTGAGGAAGGCAGAATTCTTTTCAACCATGAACATAATCATAATAATGATGAGGGTAAGTTGACATAAATGTCACCCGGGTCCTGCTAACCTGCCCAGGGCAAGTCATTTCAGCCCAACTTCTAATCCAGGTTTCCCAGAACAACCGAGCAACCTTTTAAGATACAGGTTAGTCCTCTGACTTCTTACGGCCGCAAGTGAGCCCAACATTTATGTTGCTAAGTGAGACAAGTCCCATTTTTGCCCCCTTTTGCAACCTTTCTTTGCTACAGGGGTTAAGGGAATCCCTGCCGTTGTTAAGTTAGTCATCTGGTTGCTAAGCGGATCGGGTTTCCTCACCGACTGACAGAAGGTCGCAAAAGGAGACAATGCAAGCGTCACAAATATGAGTCAGTTGTCCAGCATCTGATTTTTTTTTTTTAATCCCATGACTTTGGGGAATGCTGCAACGGCTGTTAAGTATGAAAAATGATCCTGAGTCCCATTTTTTTTCCCCCAGTGCCATTGTAACTTGGAACAATCCCGCTACACCAAGGCTCTTCAAACTTGGTGAGTTTAAGACTTGTGGACTTCAACTCCCAGAATTCTTGAGCTAACATGACTGGAGGAGGAATTCTGGGAGTTGAAGTCCACAAGTCTTAAACTTGCCAAGGTTGGAGATCCCTGATCTAGAGGAGGCCTTGAAGAAGACATGCTGGCTAAGTTCCACCACCTTCTCCTGCAACCTAACACTCTAGCTCAAGGGCCTTCAAACTTGGCCAAGTTTAAGACTTGTGGACTTCAACTCCCAGAATTCTTGAGCTAACACGACTGGAGGAGGAGGAATTCTGGGACTTGAAGTCCACAAGCCTTAAAGCTGTCAAGTTTGAAGACCCCCTGCCCAAAACCAACTGTTGTAAGTCGAGGACAGGAGGTGGACTTGAACTCCCAGAGTTTTCCAGCTGGAATTCTGGGAGCTGGGAGTCCCAAGAGCTTTAAAAGGTGCCCACTTGGGAGGAAACACAAAGCTCGGAATCCTAAGCACCTCCTTTAAAAAGGAAAGTGGGGGGAAGCACAGAGGCCTCCTTTTCAAAATCTGGACTTGGGGGGGGGAGTAAGACCAGTACGGGTCTTCCTGCCCCGGAGTCCCCCCTCCACCTACCAGCCAGGCAAAGACTACACCTCCCATCCCCCACGGCTACCCAGATGCCGCCCTGCCACCCACGCCTTCCCTGGATCCCGAATCCTTTCCCGAGCCGCCTTCCAAGGTTACGCGCTGCGCTTACGAAACGCGGCTGCTGCGCAAGGAGGAGGAATGGGAGGAGGAGGAGGGGGGGCGCTGAAGCCCCGCTCGCCCACCGAGCCTCTCCCGGACCCTGCGTGGCTGGGCCGAGCCCCCCTCTGCCCCTCCGGTTGCGCGGCCGAGGCTCCAGGTGGGGAAGAAAAGAAAAAAAAACAACGCCTGCGGCGGCCCCCGGGTGGGGGCCGGGGGGGGGGGGCCAGGGCCCACCCCCCAGCGGGGCCCGGGCGGGGGGGAGGGGGGGGGGGGGTCTGCCGGGCTGAGGATCGCCCTGCCCATCGTCCCCAGCCCCGGGGGTCTGGGGAAGAGGCCCGGCGTTGGAGAGAGAGAGAGAGAGACAGGCGCAGCTGGCCAAGGCAGGGGCGGGGGGGGGGGGGCGAGCGCAGAAGGCAAGGCAAGGCGAGCGCACCGCGCGTCTCGGCCAGGCTGCTTACCCGCGGCTCCTCCCGGGCTCGCGTCGGGCCCTTCTTCTCGGTCCATCGCTGGCCTCGGTCATGTGAGCCTCCGGGAGGAGCTGGGGGAAGCGTCCCTCCTCCGGCTCTCGGGCCAGGGGGCCGGGGAGGCGTCTCCCAGCCGAGCCGACACGTGCTGCCCGCTGCGCTGCCGCCGCTGCTGCTGCCACTGCTGCAGGATCTCTTTGCGCGCCGCTTTTGCGCCCTTCTGCAATGGCTCGGATCGGCGGGGGTGGTGGTGGTGGTGCAGAAGTGGGGGAAGGGGTTTCTTAAACGGCCGGGGGTTGGGGGGGGGGGGGGGGGGGGTAAGGGAAGAGACACCCCCCCCCTTTCTCTCCGGCCGCAATAAGCGCCCGCGCGATTTGCAAGGCTGCGCAGACTTTGCAAAACTCCCTGCAAGAAAGTCCCGCGGGGGAGGGGGGAAGGAGGAGGGAGGGGAGGTTGCACGGGGCTGGGCTAGATGGGTAAGGGGATTTCTCCCACCCCCTCCAGCCCCTTTTGGCTGGGACAGGCCTGGGCACCCCCAGAAACCCTCCGTTGCAATTGCCAAGGCCCGATTGGAGCAGAAGGTTCTGACTTAGCAGATGTGCGTCAATGGGGGTGGGCAGGGGGGGGGAGAGAAGGGGAAGCACTGCCTGGAACGCCCAGATGGGGGCAGCGCCAGCCAGGGTTGCACAGTTGATTGTGCAAAGAGCTGTGGGGGGGGGGGGACAGTCTTCCTTCGTTGTTGCTAGTAGGGGGACCCCCCCTTCCCCCCCCCCCCCGTGATTGTGGGAACTTCGCATACTGTATCATCATCAGCTTTTAAGAGGGGTGCACTTCCAACCCCCAGAATTCCCCAGCCAGCACCAACCCTCTTAAAGTTGAGAAAGATTGCTGGAGTCTAACACACCACGAGAAAAATGGATAAGATAGCCTGCATTGTCACTTATAACTGTGTACACACTGCACGCATTAAAAATGAAATTCTGATGCTCCATCTCATATCTATATATCTATCCATACACGTATACAAATGTTGAGAAGGGAAGGGGGGGAAGAGAGAGGAGGGGAGGGAAAAGAATTCTTATATTGGCCAAGTGTGATTGGGCACACAAAGAATTTGTCTCCAGTGCATAAAGCTCACAGTGTACAAATAAAGTACATCTGCATGCAGCGCACATATATATGTACACATACATACACGTACATCTATATTATCACAGCCATTTTGAATATATAACAGAAAAAGGAGTCTTGAGAGTTAATAAGGTTGATACTATATGGTAGAAAGCTACCAGTATTAGAGAATCTAATTCTGCTTCAGCTACCACCTTGTATTTTAAGAACTTTGCTTTAAGCTCTTACAAGCCCCCTTCTTTTGATCTGGAACAGCTCATCTGGCTAAAAACAAAAAAATCAGCTACCAAAAAAGGGGGAATTAACCCATTTGGACAGCTGCCACTCTGACACTGAACCCACAGGCTGTAGAAACCAGTGATAGCTCCCCATACTGGTTTATGACTCCTCCCTACACTTTTAAAATTTTGCTTAGATTTTAAAGCCATGCTTGTTTTGTCAAGTTCTCACAGCCTTTCTAAAGACTTGCAAAATGTGCAAATTAAGGATGCAATGGGTTGCATTAGCATGGCACCCCCCCTATTTAGAGGGCAACAGTCCATGTACCCCTAGATATGGCAAATAAACAGATCAAAGCCTTTTCTTGACCTTGTACTATACTATTCAAACATTATACGGTGATTCTGGAAGATTAATAAGTACAGTGTCATGTTGATCTGATTCCAAAACTATATTTGAAAGCCACTTTGTTGGTGCATTCATATTAATATTCATTTTCCAACAGTGGTGTTTTAACAGTTTTACTTAGCTTTTGGTCATAGGAGAAGATTTCCCTTCCCAAAGGTCATTTATGATGTCCTTGCTACTATCAGTTTAGCAAAGAGCCTATAGATTTGAACATTGTTGTAACTGTAATATAAAAATAAATATTATCTGTCATATTCATGGGGGGAGGGGAAATAATCTGAATAAAATTATCCATGATTTTTGTATTGCTGTATTGTGTTTATTAGGAGAAACCTTGCAAGACAGGATAATCCCTTAAGGACTAACATATCCTGACAGAAGCCAGCCTTCTCCAGCTCCAAGCATCTGATTTCCAGATGTTTTAGACTCCAAATACTCTAATTCCCAACCAAAATGTCATAATAGAAATTGCAAAAGTTGCAAAAATCCATTCCTGTACTTTGAGGCAACCTACTCAGGGATATGATTTATTTTTTATTTATTTGATTGGTCAATTGCTTACAAGATAATAGGTATAGGTATAAACATAGTTATGAATACATTAAATGGATACATATAAGAAAAATAAAAAGAAACAATAGGACAGGGACGGTAGGCACGTTGTTGCTCTTATGCACGTGTGTGTGTGCGCGCGTGCGCGCATGGTTAGTCCTAAGTGTATCTTCACAAAAATAAATGCCACTTAATGCAGAAAAGAATGAAGTATAAAAAATCATTGCAACTCTTAATCTGTATTTAAAGCGTTTTAAAAGTTCGGTGGGGAACGCTCAGCTTTAATATCCCTCTCCTCTATAGGACCCAACGGCTCACTGTTCTTTTTGTGTGTGTACTGTTTCTTTAAGAGAAAGATCACGTGAGCAAGAAACAGCTGATGTGGCGGGGCTCGCCGGGCCGTACCATTCCAAGGTGTTTTTTTTTAAATGAAGCATAGGAAAAAACGCCGATCACAATATAGGATTGTATCTACTATTCAATTTGTAACATATCCCAGTCATTGCTTGGCTTAGGGATTTCAGGATAGGTGCCAATAATTAGCTCAAAGCTCCCCCATGATACACTTAGTATGGTCCATGCTCCCGATACGTCAAATTCCTAGACGATACTATTGTGAACCCTTGAAAGGGTGATATGTCACTACGGTAAAGCATTATTAATTCCTTCTTCGGCGCGACTATATTTTTCATTTTTTTCATAATTTGCCTTCCTAAATTTCCTATTATTTTAATAGTATATGCGAAAAGCAATAGTTTTATCAGCAGTACCCTGCCAAGACTACCCCCTTCATATGCCGGATGTCAAGCCTCACCTCAAAGGCGCTTTTCAAACCGGTCGCCATTTTGGACTGCCTCATCTCGAGGGATCCAGAGGGGGGCAGGGTGGATTGTGTATAATCCCGAAATAACCTTTCTCAAAGAAAGCAATCGTGGGAAAAGTACGGAAAAAAGAGAAAAGCGACTCGAGTGACTTCGTCCTCCTTTCACTAAAGCCGAGGAAAGTTTCCCTTCGAGCGGCTCTGCTTTTCTCCCCCCCCCCCCAGACATGGTTTCCTCCGGTCTCGCGAGAGCGGGCGGCGGCCCTCTCGCGCACATGGCCCGGCTAAGGGGCGCCGCCTCCCCCGTGCGTGCGTGCGTGCGCTCGCGCATGCGCCCCCCTTTCCTTTTCGGCCGAGGCCTCTCCGAGCGGTGTGCGCGTGAGGCGATCGGGAAGGCCGCGCAGCCTCCCCCGAGTTTCCCATGCAGGAGACCGAGGAGAGCTTAGCGGCGGCCGCGGCCTCCCCTTCCGACGCCCTTCCCGCCGACGCCGAGGGGTCCGGAGGCGGCGGAGGGAGTAGCACCAGCACCACCAGCAGCAGCAGCGACTCGGAGGCCGAACGGCCGCCGGCGGAGTCGCTTGAGGGGCGGGAGGCCCAGCCGGACGGCAAACCCGACGCCGACGAGGCTGAGGAAAAGAAGGAGGAGGAGGAGGAGGAGGAGTTGGGGAAAAGCAGCGGGGGCGAAGAAGAAGAAGAAGAAGCCGGAGAGCCGCTTCCTCCCCCTCAGGAACCGCCGCCGGCGGTGAACGAGGAGAAGCCGCCGTCGCCGTCGCCGCCCGCCCAAGAACAGTCGCCGGTAGCCGCCGCCGCCGCCTCCGAGGAGCCGAGGGAAGAAAAGGCCGAGGAAGAAGGAGAAGAGAAGGAAGAGAAAGAAGAGGAGGAAGGCGGAGGAGGAGAGGAAGGATCCGAGGAGGAGGAGGAGGAGGAAGAGGAGGAGGAAGAAGAGAAGCCGCCGCGGGACTCCTCCGAGCAGGAGGAGGAGCAGCCCCAGCCTCCCACTCCCCCCGTCCTCCTCCTCCCGCCTCTGGGCCAAGACGAGGACGAGCCCTCCTTCAGCGACCCCGAGGACTTCGTGGACGACGTCGAAGAGGAAGGTGCGCTCTCCCCGGGGGAGGGAGGGGAGGGGGGTCTTTTGGGGGTGGGGAGGGGGGAAATGGGAGAGAAGGGCACCTTCCTGCTCCCCCCCCCAGGGGCTAGACATAGAATAACAGAGTGGGAAGGGCCCTTGGAGGTCATCTAGTCCAACCCCCCCCCTGCTCAAGCAGGAGAGTCTATTCCAAATCCTAGCCACTGCCCAGGATCGAACTCACAGCCTCCTGATTCCCCTGGACCCTCGCGGGTGTTCTGGAGGCCTGGCCCCCAAAGCAAGCTGGCTGTCTCTCTCACACAACAAACACACACACACACACACACACACACGCACGCACTCACCTGCCTGGGCTTCTGTGTGTGTCTTTGCACCTGGCTTCCCAGTCAGGGGCTGCACTACAAGCCCCAGGGTTCGCAGCTGGAGTGGAGGAGGGGCTGTGGGGTGTTCCCAAGGGCGGGGTGGGGAGGGAGGAGGGCCTTGGGTGAGGTGGGAAGGACAGCTGCCTTGGGGTTGGGGTAGCTCGTCCCTGTTTCACACCCCCTCCCCCTTCGTGGAGGTCGCTCTTAACCCTCCAGGAACCCCAAAGCAGCAAAGAATAAAAAAGAAACTTGATTAAAAAGTCACACGAGGGTGGCTTGGCAGAATAATGGGGTTGGAAGGGATTGTGGAGGTCTTCTAGTCCACCCCCACCCCCCTTTGAGCAGGAAAACTTGTACCATTTTGGGCTTTGGGGGAGGGGGCTTTGATGGGATGCATAGATGGGATCATAGAATATCAATAGAATAACAAGAGTTGGAAGGGACCCTGGAGATCTTCTAGTCCAGTCCCAAGCGTCTCTGCCTGGGACAGAGGGGGTCAAGAAGAGGCAGGGGAACGCTTTGCACCTTGCTTCCCAGTCAGGGCCTGGACTACAAGTCCCACGGTTCCCAGCTGGCGAGGAGGGGCTGTTGGGTGTTCCCTGGGGAGGATCTTGAGTGATGTGGGATTGACAGCTGTCTTGGGGTTGGGTTAGTGTGTCCCTGTTTCTCACTGGTCATTCTTGCTCTCCAGGCACCCCAAACAATAATCAAAAATCATTAAATTTTTAATCTGTTTCTTGTCCTGCCTTTTGCTGGGTGAGCACAGCTGAGGAAATTGGGAAGCGGTTGCGTATGTGTGTGTGTGTGGACTGTATTTGTAATATCTGTACAATATTGAGTGAATGTGGTTCAAGAGCTGTTGTCAGTTTCAAGCAGCCTTGTTTTTAGTTATAGGTGGAAAAGGAAACCTGCAAATCCTTTGAACAGTAGCTGTGCCAGTGTCTGGTTAACCTTGAGAACTATGAGCAGGTCACACTTTTAAAAAAATAAATCCTTGTATTATTAAATTTATTCAGAAAAAAACCTTTGAGGTTTTATTAGAAACCTTGTTTAAAACCTGTTAGCATGAAGGTTGTGGTAGTAACCTAACCTGTAGGTTGAGTTAGAGGAGACCCAGAGTTGTGGCATTCAGATCTGTTGTGTTTTCTGGGGTCAGTTTAGGTAAATCTGTTTGATGTACAGAGGAGCCCTTCCAGAGTTGTTCAGTACTTCTGTGTCCCACATTAGGGACACAGAACTGGAGAGGCTGCTGGGTTTCGCTCCAGGTATCCCAGATTAGAATCTGATGCTTTATGATGAGGTATATTTTAACCACAGAGGAGAACAAAGCAATCCCAGTTATAATCAGCCAAGGTTACTTCGGAAAGTAGAAGCTTCTATTTCTGACTGTCATGAGCTGTGTACCAACCTGGAAGAACTGTGTGAATAAAACGGGCAAGATGCCCCAATAGGCAGTTGAACATATTGTCCAATTTGTGTTTATTGTTAGAACGTTCAGTACCCACATTTATGCATGACTGATAAATTAACACCTTGTAATCCAAAAGACCTTGAAGAACTGTGAAGGATACAGCTGGCTTTAAAAGAAAAGGGTGAAATATACGTGTGACAATATGCTGTGGTACATTCAATTAAAGTGCACTTTTAAAAGCCATGATAACTTACTATAACTAGAATATTTGTTTTTTATATTATGTTACACTGATGTTATAGTACCACTATCATTCAACATAGATAACTCAGTCACAGTTTGATAGTTTTGAAGCTCTCCAGGTTTAGAACATCAAAAAATAATGCAGATGACAGAGAGAAGAACAAGCTGACAAGACACTGCTGTGGGAGATCATTCGTTCGGGGGTTCATCTCAGAGCAATTATCACTGGCCTTTTGATCAGAGTCTAATGATACAGACCCTCCAAAGCAGGGCTTCCCAAATGTTTTCCTTCATTATCAAAACCGCTTACCAGAAAGTCCTTTTCACCCGATGATTCCGCTTTTCATCCCTCCTTTCCGCGTGCTTTCAGGAGGCAAACCTAATGTAGATGATCTCATTGGTCTCTCTCTATTTCACTGTCCACAGAATTACTGGGAGATATTCTACAAGAGCTCCCTCAGGAAGCAGATGGAATTGATTCTGTGATTGTGGTGGACAATGTCCCCCAGGTTGGACCAGACCGCCTTGAGAAACTGAAGAATGTTATCCATAAGATTTTCTCAAAGTTTGGGAAGATAACCAATGAATTTTACCCGGAAGCTGATGGCCTGACTAAAGGGTGAGTGCTGATGATGTTTTTCATTTCTTTGTTGTAGTTGTTGTAGCCAAGTCTCTCCATCAAGGAAGCATAATCTTCTAGCTCATCCAGCAAGCCAAAATAGTAGCTGGTGCATTTGTGCATCTCCAACACATTTCTCCAAGCTGACCACCACATCATCCTGCTTCGAAGGCACCTTGCTAAAGCTTTTTTTATATATAAAACACTTTACGATGCTCCCATCCGGAGTAACCAAGCAAAGTCTTGGGCAATTTTTCATGTGTAAAAGATGAATGGGAAGGAAAGTAACACACAAGACATGTTTGAAAGAAAGAAGGAAAGGCAAGGCAAGCTGGTTACTTGCTCTGCTCGTGGGAGCTTCTTCCACAATGAACATGGTCTCTTGAAAAGTTTAGATAATGAGAGTGGTAGCTTGGGGTGGGGAGGATAAGATAATTTGTATGCTGCATCACACTTCTGAGTGAAAGGTGGAATGTAAATGAACTGGTTTTGTTTCGCTGCAGGTATATCTTCTTGGAATATATGTCTCCCACTCATGCTCTGGATGCTGTCAAAAACACAGATGGTTACAAGCTGGACAAACAACACACTTTCAGGGTCAATCTTTTCACTGACTTTGACAAGTGAGTACAGTTTTATCTCCATGACTTCCTCAAAAACACATACCTGTATGTATATGTGACTAATTTTATTGCACTTTCAGATACATGACAATCAGTGATGAGTGGGAAATTCCAGAGAAACAGCCATTTAAAGATCTCGTAAGTATTCAGAAGACTGAATGGCATGTAGAGATCACTCCAGACATTCCCCAAGATACGACATCCCTAGCTGAGCAGGAGAAGCAGACCTTGCCCTAACCAAGATTACACCGTTGTCTAATGTATTTTTTATCAAGAGATAGGTTGAAGTTACCAGTGTGCGGCTGGCAGTTGCATTGTCCAAACTCTGACGGTTCCCAGGATGCATGTCTCAGTTTTAAAAAAATGCGTTTTCAGCAAGAGCTGCGAGCTCAATAATTCATACGCATAACAATGAAACTCCTGAAAATGCAAAATAAAAATAGTGTCTGAGTGAGAGGACTGATTTACGTGCTGTTTGCTGGAGTACTGCAGAAATCGTCTGAACTGTTGGTGTCCCAATAAAAACATCACAATTTAAATTCGTTTTGCTACATGGCAAGAGTGTGCTTGGTTTGCTACAACAAAAGTTGTGTGTGTGTCATAGGGACAGTTTCCTATCAGGCAGGATGGGGTGTTTTTTTTTCTTTTACAATAGAATGCTCATCCTCTTGTTTTTTGCAGCCTCTTTCTTCATCTTTTTTTAACCTTTTGATTATTTCCTAGGGGAATTTGCGCTATTGGTTGGAGGACGCAGATTGTAGAGATCAGTATAGTGTAATTTTTGAATCTGGAGATCGAACCTCTATATACTGGAATGATGCAAAAGATCCTGTTACAATTGAGGAGAGAGCTGTGAGTGTTTGGGGCAAGTTTCTCTTGGTAACACTTTGTGTGCTGGCGGCTGTAAGAAGTAATTTCAAATCTGTAATGAAATTAAATGGTTTAATTAGTTGATGCACAGAAAAAGATTTTAGGAACATAATAGCTATTGACCCGAGCCATAAATTTTACCAATCCGAAGTGGCTTTTGCCAGTGAAAATGTGTTTCATCCTGATGTGATTGATTATGAGATTCACATTTCAACAACTTTGTTGAAAAGCAAAGTGCAAAAATTGTCTGATGTTAGATGTTCTTTGTTCACAAGATTTAAGGGGTTTTCTATTTGGCCAAAATAGATCATGTTTGTTTTCTATTTGATATCCATTTTTTTTCTACTAAATCATCAGGTTATCTACAAAAATAATATGCTAAAACTCTGATGAGGGAAGTTCCAGGGAATGATCAGCTCCAGTTTGATGCCCTTCCCCATTAAATTAGACTTTTTTAAAGGAAATGCCACGCAAACCTTCAGAAATAAAATCTTCATATAGCTTCAGTGTTCAAATGTAGCTTGACCCCATTAATGTAGGTTTCTCCCCCTGCAGCGATGGACAGAGACCTACGTGCGCTGGTCTCCAAAGGGGACCTACCTGGCTACATTCCATCAGAGGGGCATTGCTCTGTGGGGTGGCGAGAAATTCAAACAGATCCAGAGGTTCAGCCACCAGGGGGTGCAGCTCATTGACTTCTCACCTTGCGAAAGGTATTCCTGGAAATCAGCTAACGGTCAGCGCTTCAGCAGCCTTGCTCATGGATAGGTTGTCACTGAATGGCAAAATGTTGGCGTATGTAATGGTTGGTTTAGGTTCTCCGTATGGAAATCCCTTTACCTTCCCAGTTTCTTGCCACTTCTTGGGTCTCTTGTCTTGATTATTTAACTATAGTTAGGATGACCTTGTGAAGATGTACTGTATTGGTCCCAGAGGCATCTGTAGCATGATTTTTTTGAGGAACCATTCTGCTCTGCACGGTGTTAGATTCTTAACTGCTGGCATATCAGCCTTGTGTATGTGAATGAAGGAAAAGCTTTTCTTTGATGCTGACTCTTGGCTGTTTGAAGCCATCTTGCTTACTAAAGTCAGTATGAAATGGCTCAGAGTGTTTGTATTCCTGCAATTGATTTTGCTGTCTTTGTGAAGGTACCTGGTAACGTTCAGCCCCCTGATGGACACCCAAGATGATCCTCAAGCCATCATCATTTGGGATATCCTGACTGGACAGAAGAAACGAGGGTTTCATTGTGAAAGCTCTGCCCACTGGCCCATATTTAAGTATGTTTGTAGAGGACTAAAAACAATTATGGTACTCTTTTGACTATTGGGAAATATGGCACCCACGTATATATGCGCGCGCACACACACTAAACCTTTGAAATTTTTCTTGCTCAGATGGAGTCACGATGGCAAATTCTTTGCCCGGATGACATCCGACACCCTTAGCATCTACGAAACGCCTGTAAGTCCGATCGTGCCTTAACACAAACGTTGCTCGTTGCAAAAGTACATGCTTAGCTCTTCTCCCTCCCTCTTCCCTTTTCCCTTTTGTGGCCTTTCACCTCATCCTTTTATTTTATTTTTATACATGAATGAATCCATAGATGCATTTCCGGGCTCATGGATCAATGCTTTTGGGGACCTTAAGAGAATCCCTTTCTCGTGGGAAAACGTCTGTATGTTAAATATTGGTATGAGGATTGCAGGATTGTTACATTGTCTTTTTTTTTTTTTTTTTTTGCCCTTCTAGTCCATGGGCCTCCTGGATAAGAAAAGTTTGAAAATCACAGGGATCAAGTGAGTGCTGCTCTGCTTTTATGAAGGTGTCACTGTTAACAAAATCAGCACCTGTCCTAAAAAAAAACAAAAAAGGGGCTCTCCTCCGCTTCCTCCAAACCCTGAGAATTCGATTCCACAGTACGGGTTGGGTGGGCTGTTTTGGGACACGTCTTCTCCTCTTTGAGAACTCCTTCTTTCTTGCTGCCCCTCAGGGACTTCTCCTGGTCCCCCGGAGGAAACATAATCGCCTTCTGGGTCCCCGAAGACAAAGATATCCCAGCGAGGGTGACCCTGATGCAGCTCCCCTCCCGGCAGGAGATCCGGGTGCGCAACCTGTTCAACGTGGTAGACTGCAAACTCCATTGGCAGAAGAACGGGGATTACCTCTGTGTGAAAGTGGACCGGACCCCGAAGGGCACCCAGGTAACTTGCTTCTCTCACCATATTCGTAAAAGTGGCCAGTTGGAGAATGTGTGCTGCCTCTCGGGGTGATTACAGGTCATCTTACGGCTGAGGACTTCCACTGAGCCTGGAATTACAGGTGTAATTTTTGTGATGGTGGCTAAACAAATCTCCCTGATCGTTAAGCGAACCGTGTTCTCAAAGGGCTTTCTTTGCCAGAAGTTGGAAGCAGGCATCCGAATCCAACATGAGACGCCCACGGATCATTCACGTGAGGCTGCAAATGGCTGTCGATGCAGGCCGGTTGCCAAGGGGCCAAAATGCAGTCGTGTGACTCTTCCGCTTTTGTTGTTTGGTGTTAAGCCATCCTTTTCTGCAACCCCATCAAGTCCCAGCCAGCACAGGCCTGAGATGTGGCTTCATAATTGCGTCTGATGTCTGAGGAAAGGCCTCTTTTGAATAGAATACGTCGTTCGGCTTTTCATAAAGAGCCCTACTGACTTACAGATCATGCTCTTTCAGATAAAACGGTTTGCGATGCATGTTATTAGCGAGGATAAAAGTCCCACTTTGGATCAATCATGCTTTCCTTCCTTCCTCCATCCCAGGGTGTAGTGACCAACTTTGAAATCTTCCGCATGAGAGAAAAGCAGGTTCCCGTCGACGTGGTGGAAATGAAAGGTAAAAGGGCACCTTTTCTGTCGCCTCCATGCAATGGTGCGTGATTTCTCCAAGGAACCATGTTTGCTGTCCCCCAGCTGAATTACTCCTTGGGAGGCGATAGATCTTATATCGTATGTTAGGTACAGCGGAAGTAAAGCATGTTCAACATATACCGCGTGTTTTACTTCTGCAACGGTTTCTCAGCCCTTAGCGACACATCCGGTTTATGTCGTAACGAAGGAACGCTTGTCTTGGCTCTTTCCCTCCGGATCTGGCAAAGTCTTTCACCTTCCACCTTAAACATCTGGGCTGCCCACTGGGCTTTTAGAGGGTTTCCTAGTCCCAACTGACAGGACCTTCCTGCTTTGCAGAGAGCATCATCGCCTTCGCTTGGGAGCCCAATGGAAGCAAGTTTGCTGTGCTGCACGGGGAGTCGCCCCGGATATCCTGCTCCTTCTATCATGTGAAGAACAATGGGAAGATAGAGCTCATTAGTAAGTGGATTTCGCTCTCGCCCGGTGTGCTGCTCCTTTTAAGTCTGCTGTGGTTTTCAGCTGAAGCAAAACACAACAAGAGTGTGTTGCTTTTCAGAGTGTGTTGTTTCTTATTTCGTTCCTTTTTTTCGTCGGCATCCTACTGCCAGCTGTCTAAAGTCAGTTGTTACCCTAAAATCCTAAATATGTAAACACAGGATAGCTAAAAGAAAGCATTTTCCACGGCATCCCTCCTCCCTCCCCAGCTGAATACCAGTGTTGCCATATTTTTGCATTGCAAATCACCTGGGCCCAAGTGGGGCAGGGAAATAGTGGCATAACCTGTCCAATTATACCGTTGAAAATGGAACTTTCCGTGAACGTGGGCTTTGTAGTTGCCCTGTTACAGACTACATGCCACTGGGTTTTTAGCACTGCCAGCATAAATTAAACCTCCAGATCTTCTAAATAGCTGGAGCATCTGATTTAAAAGGGAGGACTGCCTGATGGGGGATGACACAACTGGGCTGCTCTGCTCCGGTGTTATTTTAAGATCGCCCACTTAATCCCCCGGGTGTTAAAATTCCGGAAGCAGCCTCAGCAGGGGGCGGGAGATGATGCCAGCCTCGTTACTCCAGCGTGGCTGTTTCACTATTTGAAAGTCAAGTCGTGTTTCTGATTTTTATCTCAGAAATCTTTGACAAGCAGCAGGCAAACACGATATTCTGGAGCCCTCAGGGACAGTTTGTGGTGCTGGCCGGTCTCAGAAGGTGAGCGCTCGCTTCGGGGAAGAATTTAAACAATTGCCTTGGTTTGCAAGTGTTAACAGAAGTGGTGTCCACTTCTATAATCATCCATATAGCTTATTTCCGATGATTAGAAACAAAGTGAAAATGCATCTGGTTCCTTTGAACCTTCATTTGTGTAGAAGTTAGAAGATCCCAACCCCTGGATTTTTGTCCAGGTGTCAGACCCCAAAACCATAGGTGTGAATCTTCCAAGCTGAGTTCTTTATTGTTTTGTGCCTGTAGTTGCCAGACTGAAGATTCTACTATCTGCATTGACGATATACTCTGGGAACTATGGAGGAGGGTCTGTCCCTCTTTCTCTCACGCATGGCCGCTGGGCTGAGTTGCCACTTAACTCGTCTGCACTCCACCCCGCTCCCTCCTGGGAACCCACTTCCTCACTACAATCCGTCAAGGGAAGTTCCCCAGTGAAGTTTGCGTAGTCTGGAACCTAAACCCAAGTTTAGGGAGTTGAAGTTCTAGGATAATTCTCCCCGCCTCCCCGGCCAAAACGTTGAAGGAGGCCAGTGGGATAATGTGCCTCTCCTCTCGTTCTCTGTTCAGCATGAATGGTGCCTTAGCATTTGTGGATACCTCTGACTGCACCATGATGAACATTGCTGAGCACTACACTGCCTCGGACGTGGAATGGGACCCCACCGGCCGCTTTCTGGTGACATCTGTGTCTTGGTGGAGTCACAAGGTAACCTGGAGGCCGCGTCTCCTGATCTTTTTCCCACCTGCACGGGCTTTAGTTGGGGTTACTTAAGTGTTCTGTATGGCTGCCACCTTTACCAATCTCTTCTGAGTAAATTAAAAGATTTCAGCCGTGTCTTATTCTTCTGCCTCGGCAAGCAGCAAAATCGGTTCACTTGTCTAAATCTGGAGTGTCCAAACTTGGCCATTTGAAGACTTGTGGACTTCAACTCCCAGAATGCTGGCTGGGGAATTCTGGGAGTTGAAAGCCCACACACCTCTTCCAGGTTGCCACGATTAGACATCCTTGAGCTGGGTAGAGCATCCCACTCCGCACCCATTGCACGCCAGCCAGGCTGGTGTGGCTTCTCCCTCTTAAGCACCAGGCTAGTGAATTCCAGCTGCTGTGCCAGGATGCTTTTGTCTTGGACGCCCTCACCTGAGCAAAATGTCGTCCTCAGGTGGACAACGCCTACTGGCTGTGGACTTTCCAGGGTCGCCTCCTCCAGAAAAATAACAAGGACCGGTTCTGCCAGTTGCTATGGAGACCCAGGCCGCCAACTCTGCTCACCCAGGATCAGATAAAGGTGAGGCATCCCTCGGGGCAGAAACCCGCTTGAAGTAGCCCATCGGAGGACTTCCAGGATGCTGTTGCCAAGAGGAAGTGACAACACTGCTCGAAAGAGAGATGGAGAAGGGGCGGGACAGGGCTTGGCCTGCAGGAAGCCTCGGTTTAAATCCCTGATGATCTGCAGGGCAGCTGGTAACAGTTACATGGATGAACTTTCCTTGGCTTGAAGAGAGCATTTTCTCTCTGCCTAGCTCCCCTTTCAGGCGTGAAGCATTTTTTTCTCTTTTTTTTGTTCCTTGCTGCAGCAAATCAAGAAAGATCTCAAGAGGTACTCTAAGATATTTGAACAGAAGGATCGCCTGAGCCAATCGAAAGCCTCCAAGGTAAATTGCCCAGGGAATACGAAGCGAAGGGGATTTGGGACCACAGGGGCTACTGCCTTTGGCCCCCATCAACCTCAGTCCCTTCTGGTGAATGCGCTAAGGAGCCTTCTTAACACCGTGAGGAGCTCCAGCCCTTTGTGCATTTAGCTGGGCATCCATATAGACCAGGGGTCTCCAACCTTGGCAACTTTAAGCCTGGAGGACTTCAACTCCCAGAATTCCCCAGCCAGCAAAGCTGGCTGGGGAATCCTGGGAGTTGAAGTCCTCCAGGCTTAAAGTTGCCAAGGTTGGAGACCCCTGATATAGACGTATACCCTGATATAGGGTACTTGGGACCACAGCTTTGGACCAGTGGCCAGTGGGATCGTTTAAATTAAATCCTGTTTCTTACAGGAACTGGTTGACAAACGGCGAACAATGATGGAGGACTTCAAAAAATACCGCAAGATGGCCCAGGAGTTGTACATGGAGCAGAGGAACGAGCGTTTGGAGCTCCGAGGAGGTAGGTAGGACAGGGGAACCCGCTGGCTTACCTCAGGTTCATCTCCAGATGTATTAAACCAGCCTGGATCTAGGAGCTGAGATCCCAAATGTCTGCAGACTCCCTGGTCTGAAAATGCAAGATTATGCAGATTTATTTTGAGAAGTACAGCCTAATAGGGTGTGTAGTTAATATTGAGCAGTGGTGGCGCAGTGGTTAGAAGGCAGTATTGCAGGGCTAACTCACTGCCCACTGCCAGGAGTTCGATCCTGAACGGCTCAAGGTTGACTCAGCCTTCCATCCTTCCAAGATGGGTAAAACGAGGACCCAGATTGTTGGGGGCAAAGAGACTGACTCTGTCAACTGCTTAGAGAGGGCTGGAAAAGCATTATGAAGTGGTATATAAATCTAGGTGCTATTGCTCATGTCAGGCTTTGGGGATTCTGATGAAGGCAGATACTGGTTTACAAAGCTATAATTGACCTAATTAGTGGGATGTTAATGAAGAAAACGAGTCTGTGACCAAACCAAACCGAAGATGCAAGATTGCAGAAGGAAAGTGGTTAAGAATCCTCTCTGGCCGCATTGTTTCCAATGGAAGGGCCGCAATTTCCGCCTTCAAATCAAGTCAGATCTGCCTTCAGATCCATCTCGTTTGAACTACTGGCGATTGAGCTCATTTCCTTCTTTCCAGGAGTGGACACAGACGAGCTGGACAGCAACGTGGAGGACTGGGAGGAAGAGACCGTTGAATTTTTTATCAATGAAGAAATCATCACGGTTGTAGAGGCAGAGTAATCCCAAAGCCATGGTAAGGAGCCTTCCTCTTGCGCCATCCGTGTGGGGGGGAAACGGAGGGAGGGAGGAAGGCAGGGGAATCGTGGGATCCGAGCGTTAGTAGCCCCTTTTTTTTCTTTACAGGCCACCACGGATCGTCCTGAGAAGAGAGCTGTTCCTTTTCAGGAGGTCTCCTCATCTTTGGAAGTTTTTTAAAATCCGTATTTTTTTTTCTCCTCTCTGGACGGTGACCGCACAGGATCCACTCACTCTGACATGCTGTAGTGCCTTTTGGTCCCCGACATCAATTGCTGGGCTCCCTCGAAAGGCACTGCTTTTAATTTTGTATTTCTTTACTGAAGGGGGGGAGGGGAGGGATCAGTCCAATTTTTAGCAATCTACCACTGGAATCCGCTGCTGCTGCTGCTGCTGCTGCTAAAATGCTCCGCGGAGCACGAGGGGGGTGGTGTGTCTCCCCCCCCCCTCCATCCATCCAAAGGCGGCAGCCTTGAAACAGTTTCCAAGATCTCTTTTGAGTGCGGGAAACTCCAGCGCTTCTGTTTTGCCCAGGACGGTTGCTGCGTCCCACACCGACCGGGGGGGGGGGGAGGGGGGGGGGGAGAGGGTTGGTGTGAACCCAGAGACGGGCCAGCCAGGAAGGCTCTTCTTTCCGGCGTGACTGGTTGCGTTGAAGCCGCACCGTCGTGGACTCTCGACTCCCCCCTATTCCGATTGTGACGGGATCTCTCCACGCGTCGAACCTTGGAAATAAAGCAAGCCAACATGCAGCCGTCTCTGGTGTCTTGTCTGCCGTGTATTATGTTGGGACGCCGTTTTTAGAAAACACGGGTTTATCCCCGCTCCAGTTAACGCAGGGGTTAGGGTTAGAGCGGGGATCCCCCCCCCCAAACTTGGCCACTTTAAGACTGGTGGGCTTCAACTCCCAGGATTCTCCAGCCAGTTCAAGTCCACCAGTCGTAAAGTGGCCACGTTTGGGGACCTCTGGGTTAGAGTTAGCATGCTCCATAGCCTGCATTTCTGAGGCTGAGTCACTGCTAAAATCAGTAAGGAATATTTGAGGGTGGGGGGGGTGCAGAGATGTGCAAAACGCTGAGGTCAGTTTAGATTGTCCAGTTCCAGTTTTGTGTGGAAGGAACATGTCAAAAGTCAAAAGTTGCTCTAACTTGGAAGTGGGAGCTGCTGAACGATGGCGGCTTTCCTTTTTCAGTATCTTGTGCCCTGTTTAGAGATGTGCTTCGTAAGTTGTTGCTAATCTCTCTCTTAAAATCTGCTAGTAGGACGGGGGCAAAAGCTGAAAGGCACTGACGTGGATTTCAAACGCTCCACCCAGAGTTGAGAGCTGCTGTTCGATGGTAGCAAAGCCAGAGCGGGGTGTGTGTGTGTTCATAAATGCTGATCAAAAGCCCCTTTTTCCTTGAGATCTGTGCTGAACCTTCCTCCGATTCCTTGCACCTTCCCTGCGTCTGCCTTGCATCACCTGTTCCTCCGCCCCCTGGGAAAACGTGTTTTTCCCCCCCTTGCAAGCTGCTCCTCCCATTCTTGCAAATTGCTTGGTTGAAGACAGCCAGATGGGTATCTTGACACCCTCCGTGTCTCCTGGTGCAGCCAGGAGGGGATTTTGTGGGGGCTCGGCTACTATGAAGGACCTGAGAACAGAAGAACACCAGGTGGTGGTAAGTCCTTCAGAGCTGGTAGATCAAGGCCCCTGTCCTTCCCCCATCACCCCACCCCTGTATGTTAGTAATTCTGCCTTTAAATGAGATTGGGGGTGGGGGGCTGCTGACACAGAAGATGCCCCCCTGCCGCCCGCCAGAGGGGCTCAAGTTTCCAAGCTGGGCACAACTGCAGGATGAGTCCAACTGAAACGACAACATTTAACCTGATGCTCAAATCTTAACCGTCTGCTCCCATCGCTGCCTTTGTCCATGTGATGCAATACAAGGCAATTCCACCTACCTGCCACCCTCGCAAAGGGGTGCCATCCCACCTCTTTCAAAAATGGGCACCTTGAATCCCCCCCCCCCCAGGGCCTGTAGTGGCCGTACAGAAATTGCGAGTGGGAAACCTTGTAGGAATTCCAAACTTCCGGAAAAAGCCCGATTCTTGGGTCTCGCTTGCAGGTGGCTCTCCGTATTCGCCCCATCAACGAGGCCGAATTGGAGGAAGGTGCGACGGTCAGTGGCCACAGAGTGGGGGAGCAGGTGAGAGGGGGAGGGAGGGAGGGAGGGAGGGCAGAGAGAGGGATGGGGCTCTGGGTTCCATGGAAATGATAAATGCTGGAGAAACTGGATCCGAAATCATATATATATATATATATATTTCATTTCTACTGTGTGTTACTCATCTCACTCTGAGCTGACTTAGGGTTACAAATATATTTCTCTAAAGCCATGGGGTTTTTTCCATTCCTTTAAAGAAGTGTGGACTTCCAGCTCCCAGAATTCCGCAGCTAGCATCATGGCTGGGGAATTCTGGGAGTGGAAGTCTACACCTCTTAAAAGCTGGCAAATTTGGGGGGAAAAAACAACCAGTTCTGAAGAAAACTGCCTTTCCTTGCATGCCCAGCTCTTCTATGATCCTTACAGCTTTTTTACCTGTCCTCCTTTTACAAAAAAAAAAAGAAAAGAAAGAAAATGGAAATAAATCAACATAGCACCAAAGGGCCAGTTCTTAGAGGAGGGGGAAATGATGCTTGGCTGCAATTTGTTACTTTATTTGGATGTAAACTCTTCTGTCCAGGAAAATATTTACAAGTTGGAATAGCAGACGGTTATCCTCATGCCAACACATTTTCAAACGGGGAGGTAGGGTGGATAAGAATAAGAGGCAGTTTGGCTTTACATTTTCCCAACAGCTCCAGAGATCCTGCTTCTTTCGTACAAGGTTCTCACCCCATGGCCAAACGTGTTTAATTTAAACTTTAATTTTGAGGGAGACAAAGACATCAAAGGAGTTACAGCTCTAAACAGCCCTAATCAGTTTGTTGCTGCATGTAAAAGCTAATAGCCACCAAGACAGCCAAAGAAATTTACAAAATATGTACTCATCCACTAGCATTCTCGGAAAATTGGATTTTGCTATGAGCTATGAGTATAATCAGAAGCTGGAATATGGTGGGGCAAGACATAATAATTTGATATTCCAACCCTCTTAATTGGATAAATACTGTCTTGTAATTTTCAGTGGGTTTATTGTCCAAATTTGGCATTTATGCCCTCATATGTTCAGCAGTAATTTTGTCTGGTGTTTTTTTTTAAAGGGCAAATGATATATAATCTATACTGCAAGCCCTTTCCTTAATTGTATGCTTTTATCTGCAAAGCGGCCAACTTTTTGTCGGGAAATTGCTTTGACGGAACTCTTCAGTGCCTCAATTGGATGTGTTTCAATGGAGAAGAATTAAACACAGGTTCTCCTTTCCCAGCTGGCTGGGGAATTCTGGGCATTGAAGTCCACACATCTTAAAGCTTGAAAAAAAACAAAACACTTCTAAATTCTCCATCAAGGAAGCGTAACTGCCAATGGTTGAGTTTGGATGATCTCCTGGAACTCTTTCCTGGAACCCTATGATTTTAGGGACTATGGGTGCTGGCCTCATGGCTATCAACAACCAAATCTACTTCTGTGAAATAGATCGTGGTCTTGATGGACCCAACGGAAGATCCAGAGGATATTTTGCGTGCCAATCGGTCGAGGGAGAAAACATTCATTTTTGACATGGTTTTTGGCCCTCAAGCAACACAGGTGAGGAAGTCCTTCTTGGCTGAGTAACTTGGAAGCTGCTAATCTAACTGGTTTCCTCCTCCTCCTCCTCCTCCTCCTCCTCCTCCTCCTCCTCCTCCTTCTTCCAAATCTTATTTCATGCTAGCTCTAAATGCATTGCTTAGTCATTTTAGGAAGACGTCCTATCAGCCAATCAACATGGATGTTGTCCTACTCTGTCTCAAAGGCGATAGTTGGGTGAAGCTCCTGCAGATATTTCCTATATGAGCATCCAAGAGAGAATGTACATTTTGTTCGACAGATGTAAATCTCAAGATATTTTATCTGAATAGGAAGGGAAACTGAATATATAGGGGGCATTCACATTGGTTTAATCCATGTTTCTCTGCCTTCGCAATGTTCAGATGAGTAGATTGGCTGGGGAATTCTGAGATTTGAAGTCCAAGTATCTTAAGAGTTGCCAAGGTTGAGAAACCCAAGGTTAAAGGACCCACTGGCTATTTCACCAGTTGTAGCTTGCACAGATGTGTCATCTTTTCACTGTCGGTTCTTTTCCTTCAGAGTCTATCTCTTCTAAGCCCACAGCCTCATCTGCCTTTATCAGTACCTCTTGGTCTGAAATGAGTGATATCATTAAATATATCGATGTCCTTGTATCCAATGCTGAAGAAGAGGCTTCAAACTCTCCCATCTCCCTTTTACTCTTCCTGACGTAAATTTTGCTCTCAGTTTCTTCTTGTTGCCATTCTGTGTCTTTGCTTTTAAGTCCCTGGGGATGAAATTATTGCCTTTCAAACCCACAAGCCAAGTTTAAAAGTTGGAACACTCCAGAGAGAATGAAGTCATGTTTACTTAGGATGCTAGGTACTGCTCTTGAAAAATGTCCAGCATGAATACATCTCAGTAGCTCCGGAAGCTTATTCTGCTGGGGCCAATTCCACAACTTCGTGCCTCGTTTCGAGTTTCCATGGAAGAAAGAAAATGATTAAAGAAAAGCCCCCATGGTCATAATTTGGTAATTCAAACAAAGCAGAAGCTTTTACAAATTTTTTTTTTTAAAGGAAAGTATCCCTCCTTCAAATAAGATGATGCAAAAACAACATCATACTTAGCTTTCTTTCATGTTTTGGAGTTATACTTTTGAGAATTGTCTGCTCAGATATAGGTGTAAAAAATATACTGGGAGGGAGGGAGTGAAGGAAGGAAGGAAAGAAGGAGGAGAGAGGGGGAAAGGAAGGAGTGGGAGGGAGGGAGGAGGGAGGGAGGATGGAAGGGAGGAGTGAGGGAAACGAGGGAAGGAGGGAAGGAAAGAGGGAGGGAGGGAAGGGTGAGAAGAAAAGGGAGGAAGGGAGAGAGGGAGGGGGAAGGAAGGAGTGGGAGGGAGGGAAGGAGGAAGAGAGGAAGGGAAGGAGGGAGGGAGGACGGAAGGGAGGAGTGGGAGGGAAATGGAGGAGGGAAGGAGGAAAGGAAAGAGGGAGGGAGGGAGGGAAGGAGGAGAAGGAAAGGGAGGAAGGAAGGAAAGATGGAAGGAGGAAGGAAGGAAGGAAGAAAGAAAGGAAGAAGGGAGAGAGGAAGGGAGGGAGGAGAAGAGTTTCCATTTGCCCTTGCATGATTAAAGGTTGCCTTCTCTGCTTTGCTGAGGTTGGAGTTTCATTAAGAGCCCTACGCAGTACACAAACTTTTCACACTTGTGAAGGGCGTGAAGAAGAACTCCAAAGCTGCTCAGGAAATGTGCTAAGGAACAGAAGTCACTGTGGCTTCTTGTACCCAGAGAGGCGAAACCTCCTGAGCCATGAAAGTGTCAAAATATTTGGTAATGGAAAAGTCCTAACAAAGAAGCAAAGAAGCTGATGTGCCATTGCTTGGTGGGCTGGGCAGCCCAGGGAAAGAGGTGTTCATACAATGACGTGCTACATAGCAAGGCTGCATCATTGATAGCTTCATGCTGCAGGAACACGTCTGGAAGCTACAGCTGTCAAGTTAGATTTCCAGTCGCTTCTGAATCAAAACATACCAGCTCTTTTTAAAAATAAAAATAAAAACCCACCATTGAGCTGGAATGAAAGACCCCTTATCCTCACCCCAGAATGGCTGAGGATGATGGGTTTGTTGTCCCCGCCCCCAATGTAACTTGAGTTACAACCATCACAAGTTAAGATTGTAATGGCCTGGTTCAATGATGGTCATAACTTGAGGACAACACAAAAAAGGAGCCTCCATAACTAGGAGTTTGAACTCAAACCGTAGCACAATAAAGTCATCTGGTTGTTGAAACCTGTTTCTGGCCTTGAGAAGTTCGAAGGCATGAATGCAAGAAGTCTTGAAAGCATCTCTGATGATTGTCTCCTGTGATTCTCGCTAGGAGCAGGTGTATTTGTCCACTACTAAAAACCTAATCGAAGGGATCATCTCAGGATACAACGCTACCATTTTGGCATATGGACCCACAGGTAGATCACTTTCTCTTCTTGCTGAGGTTGGGATTGGTGGAACGAGGGGAAGAGATATGGAAGAAAAGCCTCCCTCTTATGAATTCCACCCAAAACTGACCATGGAATTGAGGATGTCCATTTATCTTCCTTCCTTTATCCATCTATCATCTCTCACACATCTCTCATCTACATACTGTCATCCCTCCCTTCTCCTTTCCTTGCTTTTTTCCTTCCTTCCTTCCTTTATTAATCCATCTATCATCTTTCTCACATCTCTCATCTACATATCTACTATTATCTTCCTTCCTCCCTCCCTCTCTCCCTTCTCCTTTCCTTTCTTTCTTTCTCTTTCCTTCCTTCCTTCATTTCTTTATCAATCCATCTATCATCTTGCTCACATCTCTCATCTACATACCTATCATCTTCCTTCCTTCCTCCCTTCCTTTTCCTCTTTCCTTGCTTTCTCTTTCCTTCCTTCCTTTCTCTATTTATCCATCTATCTCTCATCTCTCTCTCTCATCTACATACCTTTCATCTTCCTTGCTTCCTTCCTTTCCTTCTCTCAGGAGCTGGGAAAACCTACACTATGCTGGGGACAGATTCAGAACCTGGAATATACATCCGTACCCTCCACGATCTCTTTCAAGCCATTGAGGCCACAAAAGATGGCCAAAATTATTTGGTCTGCATGTCGTACCTGGAGGTGAGATCACCAAATGTAGAGGATCGCAGGTTAAAGCGAGAAGAGACATATCTTGGAGCATCTGAAGGGGTAGTAGGAATGAAATCAAACCAGGCATCCCTGTCCCTCTAGGAGAGAAGCCCCCATCCTTGAGTCCTCTACTCACTTTGCAAGAGAATAACCCAGTTGAATCTTCAAGGGGTGGGGGGGAAATGAGCTCTAGAAGCAACTGATGGAAAAGATCGAGAAGATAGACGAATGAATGCTAAGCCTTAGTAGGCACTTTTGGACAAGATGGGAAAGAGGCAGCTTGGTGTCCTCATTTCTCTCCTTTTCCTTCCAGGTTTATAATGAAATTATCCGCGATCTCCTGAATCCATCCACGGGCAATCTGGAGCTGAGAGAAGATTCCAAAGGGTGCATCCAGATTGCAGGAATAATGGAAGTTTCCACGACAAATGCCCAGGAAGTAAGTATCACCAACTTTCGGTGGGAAGGGGAAAAGGCAGCTATGCAGGAATTAAACCTGTTGCAAGAAGAGTCTCCATCCAGTTGATCCATACAGTCCAGGGAAGAGTTGGAAACCAGATGTTGAAGGAGAAAAGCTGAGGTCAAACAGAGCTCTAACCTTACTCAAGACTTGCGATAAATGTTCAAGGATCTATGGGGATTCTCAGTCCTCCAGCTCATGGTTGTCCCAAAAGTGCTTTTTCAAGAGGCAACTGGACTTTTCTTTGAGGATGTTTCACTTCTCATCCAAGAAGCTTCTTCAGCTCTTCAAAGAAAAACCAGGAAGTCCATTGAAAAAGCCCTTTTGGGACAACCATGACCTGGAGGGCTGAGAATCTCCATAGACATTTAGAAGAGAACTGAAGATGATTCTGGGATGAGAAGTGAAATGTCTTCAAAGAAAAACCAGGAAGTCCAGTTGCCTCTTGAAAAAAAGCACCTTTGGGACATCCAAGGATCTATGTTTTTCTAAGTTCTGATGAATCAGAGTTAAGGACCAGCTTTCCTGGGTCTCCTATGAATGCCAGCGAGTTCTTCAGCTTTCCAATCTCATCCTGTCTTTGTAGACACATAGATGTGTTTGTGTTTGAAAGATCATGCAGTTGTTGACCAAAGGGAACAAGGAACGTACTCAGGAGCCCACAGCTGCCAACAAGACCTCCTCACGGTCACATGCTGTCCTGCAAGTGTCCGTGAAGCAGATCAACCGAGTGAAAGGCATTGGTGAGGAAGTGTGTGTCGGAAGGCTCTTCATGGTTGACCTGGCGGGATCAGAAAGGGCTGTTCAGGTAAGGTCAACCATCCTTCAATTCTCTACCCAATGATGCTACCTAGAACTGATAACATTTTCTAGTTTGGTCATCAAAGACCCTTTATAGTCCTCCTCCTCCCTCTCCTCCTCCTTTCTGCAGACCCTTCTCTCTTTTACCATTGATGATATCACCCAGTTGGGTCATGAAACATCTTCAAGAAAATTACCATTCTCAGAGACCCCCAAGGACCCATTGTCCTTCTCTCCTCTTCCTCTTCCTCCTCCTCCACTCCACAAACCCTTCTCCCTTCTAGCACTGATGATGTCACCTAGTTGGGTTATGAAACGTCTGCAAGAAAACCACCAAGAGAACACCAAGGACCCCCCACGGTTCAAGCCTGAGTAGAGGTGATATTCAGAAGGTTCTGACCAGTTATGGAGAATCAGTAGCAGAAATTTTGAGCAGTTTGGAGAACCGGTGGTAACCTTCCCCCAGGAGGGAAATTTTGCAGTATCCTTCCCCTACCACGCCCACCAAGCCATGCCATGCCCACCAAGCCACACCCACAGAACCAGTAGTAAAAAATTTTGAATCCTACCACTAAGCTACAAAGATTCTCTGCTATCAGTTTTCACCTCTCAGTGGTCATTGCTTAAAATAGACCTCTCCAAATTTGCAAGCTCTGACCCCAAGTTTTGTGACTTGGGACTAAGGAATCTGTTTGCACACTGAAGAGTCAACCAGTTGGTCAACAAGGATCTACTTAGAACGGAGTTTCCTACTTCTGCTTAAAATTCACCTTTCCAGGGGGAGTTTGGGGAAACCCCCTGTTAAAACGATTCTATCTGGTTTTGAAAGAACTTTTCACCACCAGAACTTCTACATCATCTGCTGCTAAATCATTCTTGGGTGTGTGTTTTTTTACCCCTTCCCTGATGCAAAAGTTAATGTCTTCTTTCCTTCTCCACAGACCCAAAATCAGGGCAAAAGGAGGAAGGAGGGGGCCCACATCAACCGGTCCCTCCTTGCTCTGGGGAACTGCATCAATGCCCTGAGCGAAAAGGGGAGCAGCCGGACTCAATACATCAATTTCCGAGACAGCAAACTGACCCGTTTGTTGAAGGTAAGAAATAAGATGTGGATTCATCTCTAGATGCTTTTGGTTTCTTGGGAGTCGGAAAAGGATATTATCCCTCGACTTGCAACCATTCATTTAAAATTCAAAATTATGCACTGAAAAAAGTGACTCGTAACCGTTTTTCATACTTATATGACTGTTGCAGCATCCCCATGGTCACATGATCCACATTCAGATGTTTGGCAACTTATTCATATTTATGACAGTTGCAGCATCTTTCTCTTTCTGCCCTGGTCGTACAACCCACCTCCAAATGCACTTTTTTTAGAGTTTCGTTTTGTTGGCACCCAGAGCCAGATGCTCCCAAGAACTTTCTCTCTTTAGGATTCCTTAGGAGGCAACAGCCGGACAGTTATGATCGCCCACATCAGCCCAGCCAGCAGCTGCTTTGAAGAATCTCGGACAACGTTGATGTACGCCTATCGAGCCAAGAACATCAAAACGAGGGTCAGAGAGAGACAGAGAGAGAGAACAAAAGGACAATCGCCCAGATGGGAGGGGCGGCCAGTGCAAGAAATTTAATAAATAAATAAAAAACTGAAATGGATAAACCACGAGCACAAGAACTGGTGGCTGACATTCCAAAATTAGGTTTTTTTTATTTTACAGAATTTTACAGAGTTGGAAGGGACCTTGGAGGTCTTCCAGTCCATCCCCTATTCAGGCAGGAAACCCTAATACCATGTCAGACAAGTGGTTGTCCAATCTAACAACAATAGCCAAGAACAACAGCACCAATGCTTGCTTACCAAAGTTGATTTGGGTTTCCGACATGACAGAATTTCTTTGAACCAACTGCCCAGCCTTCAAAGTAGGCCGGGTCTGAGGAAATGGCAAGGCAGGCACTACTAGAACTCTATTTTACTTTTATTATATTATATGATATAATATATATTATTATGTTGTGTTATACTCAGGTATAATAACTGAATTTCAAAAGCCGGCCAGATTATCCTTCTGCTCCATCATATACAAAACAGAATCAAACTGGGTTTATCTTGAGCTTCTTTCTTATCTACTCTTCTTTCCTGGGATTAAGCTGATGTTAACCTTTCCTTCCTTCCTTCCTTCCTTCCTTCCTTCCTTCCTTCCTTCCTTCCTTCCTTCCTTCCTTCCTTCCTTCCTTCCTTCCTTCCTTCCTTCCTTTGAGGTTATCTCCATACTCATTCACAGATATTAAGCAGAATGTTTAGACTTATAGGTTTTCGAACGGAAGGGAAAGAGCTTCTTTTTTGTAATAATGGTTGGAAAGTTAGGTATTCTACGGGCATCATCCTTCCACAGAGCAGCTTCTTCATTTCTCAGGTACCCCACCCACTTTCAGATACAATCCAGTTTGCAGTCGCTACTAGGGGTGGTACATATGTTTCAACAGACCATGAATCCAAAAAGAGACCAGATACAGAAAATTTGAGCTAAAGAACCTCAGAGCATCATCGAGATCGTGATTCTTCACAATCTGGTTTCTTGTTCTTCTCCTCCTTCATATCAATTAGTATTCTTGGGATGCTTGACCAGATGTTTCTGCCTCAACAGGTGAAGCGTAATCTTCTCAACGTCTCTTACCACATCGCTCAGTACACCAGCATCATTTCGAACCTCCGGAGTGAGATTGAATGCTTAAAGGCCAAGGTTGAAAACCAGGAGAAGGAGAAACACCTCTTGAGCTCTGGGGCCAAAGATGGACAAGTTCAAGGTGAGAGTTTGGCCTCTTCAGGGCATTAAATCACTATGTGGTTTTCTTAAAACAGTTTCTATACTTCGGAGATGTCAGTATGAGGCATGTGGCTAGGGTTGCTAAGAAAGACATGGAGAAGAGCTGGAAAGGAGATCAAAGGAACCCATCTTTGCAAAATTATAACTTCTTTGGGGAAAAAAATGAAGGCTGGGAAAGTAGGACTCCTCAATTAGCCCTAAATGGCTCCTTGGAATTAACCCTGTTTAATCTGGGTTTAGACTAACGTGCATGGTGTTTCATTCCAGAATAGTGTTTTCCAACCTTGATAGTTTTAAGATGGTCAGACTTCAACTCCCAGAATTCTGGCTGGCTGGGACATTCTGGGAGTTGAACTCCACCCATCTTGAAGCCACCATTCTAGAAGCTAGAAAGTAACTTCAAAAACACATGGTAAAGCTGAGGTGTAGACAGGTCTCACTTCTTGTCATCCTCAGGGGAGACTCCTGTGGACTTGGAGGAGGATGGTCATCAACAGTTGCAGAAATTACAGAAACAACTGGTGGGGGCCTTCAAGGAACAGATGGACATGCGACGTAGCTTGATGGAGCTGGAGAATACCAACATGGAACTCCACGTAGATACCTCCAGGCATCTTCTCATGATTGCAGAGTGAGCCAAAGGACCTTTTTATTTTTGCAACCCATCTTTAGTTTGTTGAACATCAAAATGGAAATGGAAATCCCAGCGAAACAGATTTCTTCTAAAGACAAGGTCCAATTCACTAGATATGCTTAAGCAGAGGAATTTAGACAAGCAGTAGGGAATTGAAGATCAAAGCAACGGTTCTTTAGATCCATCCCAGTTGAATGAAGATCTTGCAGGAGATATCAACAATGGTTGCAAAGTTTCCTTCCAGAAAATTGGTCACTCAGCACTGGAGAACAGTCACATCTTGCAATTAAGGGCATTGAAGTCAACTCAAGGGTACCCAACTGGAGAAGAACTGATGTAGACTTCCAAGTCTTGAGCTTGGAACAGGTCTAGTCATAATGTCCTTCTTTCCTTCCTTCCTTCCTTCCCTCCCTCCTTCCTTTCCGTCCTTCCTTCCCAGCTGGGAACGTGAGAGAGTTCATCAAGGTGGACAAAGTGCCAACACACAGCATCCAAGTGAAAAGGAAGACGAGGAGGCTGACCAGGAAGATTTCCTGGAACCTGTAGAGATCACAATTGCCAGGGAAGAGATCAACACACTGGTGGCAGAGCAGCGGAAAACAGCTGCCTTAAAGGTAACGGCAGGAAGGAATTTTCACAATTGGCTCAGAATTGTTCAGTTAAGTTCAGTCAGTGTGTGTGCCTGTGAACAATAACACCTTCCCACTTATATTGCTTCCAGAACCTGGGGAGCATTTTTCATCAAATGAAAAAAAACAACCCACAGTACTTATTTATTGACATAATAAGGATGTTATGATTTAATGAATCAATGTGTTTCCCCGAAGAGCTGACTTTCAAAATGGGTTAGTTGAGGTTTGCTGAGAATATAGTTGAATGCTGATATCTCATTTTGCATGTTGTTAATGTTTCAGACATAAATTCCTGGTCTTCATTCTTTGGGGTAAACGCAGATGGGGATTTTTCAGCAAATAGAAAGAGGACATCGTCCCAAACTAAAACTTTCCAAAAGCTTTGCAATCTATTGCTTTATCAGATTGCATGGCTGGATGTTACAATGCTACCGCCAGGCTCTTAAAAACCATGGAATTGAAGACTGTGGCGTATTTTATGAGCATCGTGGCTGCTATTTTGATTTGATGTGGCCACATCAAAGGAATGGGGTTACTTCAACAAAGTAACGGCTGCTCTTTAGTATTCAATAACTTCTTAATATTTAGACCTTTCTTCAGAAATGGAGGACTTTCAGAGGTTTCCAAGTTCTCCTTTCCTAATTTAGGCTGATTTGGAGTTGAGGTTGGCAAATGCCAAGAAGAAAGTTTGCCAAATGGAGAAGTTGCTCCCGGAACAAACCACCAGCAAGGACCAACAGGAAGTTCTGAGTCTCTTGTGCAAGACCCATGAGCTGGAAGTGGGAAAGACAGAACTTCAAGCCAACGCTTTGTACAAGGACAACATCCTCTGCCAGAAGGATTTCATCATCCAGCGCCACCAGCAATACCGGTATCTCTGTGAAGAGCTCATTCAACAGCAGTGGTCCCTGATCAAAGGTAGGGATTGGAGAAACTCAACGGATATCTCAAGAGCTTTCTCTGATCATGCTTTTCTCTAGCTTCCAGCCATACTGCATTGAAAACACCAGACATGGCTCTCCAAAGGGAATTTTACTACTACTTCACCCTTATCTTTGTTGGTTTCTCGGGGAATTGGGCTAGCTCTTTGGGGCCATCAAATCTGGAAGCTTTCTGTCTTTTCTATAGACCACAATATTCCAGTCCCGGGACCTCTTGAAAAATTGTACTGCCTATATTTCCATGAATTAGAGGAAGGGACTCTGGATCGTCTGATGGTGCTTCACTCATTGATGTCCAATGCATGGCAGGTAAGACAGAATTCTCTCCTATTCCCTTAAACGGGGATTCCTCAGAGATGGGGAGTAGAGGACATTGTTTATTGTTGTTATTATTTATTTATTAAATGTATATGAAATGAGAACGGTGCAATATGGAAATAACACAAGGTAATGTCAACTTTGCACGAGACACATCCATCAGCTGATGAACTAAGCTTTCAATTTTTATTTTATTTTATTGGTTTTGCGGGATAGTTCCATTCTGGACAGATTCTGAGACAAGACCGCAACAGAGAGGAGAATCTAGAAGGATTCATCGATCACAAGAAAGCTTTCCTTTCAGGGCCCAAATTTGAACTTCCCCCAATTGTTGTGGATTCCGACAGGTACTGACAACTGACAGAGGAAAGGATTTGTCAATTACAGAAGCACTCTGATGATATCCATCAAATTGGAGATTGTAGAAGAAGTAGCAGAACCTGGGGGGTGGAGTCAAAAGAGGAATCAGCCTAGAATCGCTGTGTAGCCACAAAGAAACAAAGCCCAATTCTTTTTGAATTCTCCTTATCTAGCACCAAAATAGTGCTCAACGTTAGTTGAATAGATTCCTGTGCATGATAGCAATAAATCAGTTTAATTGGAACTTCATGTATAATCCCGGTCTTTTGCACTTGACAGAGATGGACCCAATCCTAAAAGGAATATTGTGGAATTTCCTTCTAAGGGAACCCAAGATCCTTTTTGTCCTTTGGCAGGGCTTCAACAATATTTTCCGTGTCTTGCTGCCCTAATTAAATAACCCCAATTTTCCATTTGATTTGTGTTGTGTTTACTCAACCATGCCTATAATCCAAAGACTAGATCTCCTTCCCAATGGGAATCTCCCAACTCATCTGCCAATGCTTCATATCAGTGTCTTATATTTTCTTAGTGACAGTTACCGGTCATCCTCTAAAAACACCCCAGCAAAAAGGAAGGTGACTCGTGAATGGAACCCCACTCCTACACCGTTTCATCTGTTAACATCTGTCCACCAGGTAAGTCCATCAAAAGCTCTTCTTTGTTTGTTCTGCTTTGCCTTTGTTTCGTCTTGTCCTGCAAGTTCAAAGAAGAGATGTATATGGGAATGATAATCTCTTATCTTCTATCTGACAGAGTTAGGATTTGGGGGAGCTGGTATATACCATCGTTGATGGCAGGAGTCTCCAAACTTGGTAACGTTACGCCTTGTGGACTTCAACTCCAATGCTGGCTGGGGAATTCCTGGAATTGAAGTCCACAAGGATTAAAGTTGCCAAGTTTGGAAAGGCCTGGTTTACAGCAGGCTAAGTCCTTCAGAAAGAGGTACGAGGTAGAGAACAGACAAGAGTCAAGATTCAAAGCAAGGAAGAAAGATTAGAAGACTAATTAGAAGTACTCCACTCCTCTCTTCACAACAGAATACCCTACACCACCAGGCTTGAAATTTTGGGCTTGGACAACCTTGAATTACGCTGCCTATGGCTGGATTTAAGCATAGTACACAAAATTATCTGCTACAATGTCCTACCAGTCAATGACTACTTCAGCTTCAACCACAACAATACAAGAGCACACAACAGATACAAACTCAATATAAACCGCTCCAAACTTGATTGCAGAAATTACGACTTCAGCAACCGAGTGGTCAATGCCTGGAATGCACTACTTGACTCTGTAGTTACATCCTCTAACCCCCACTCCTTTAACCTCAAGCTATCCACTATTGACCTCACGCCATTCCTAAGAGGTCTGTCAGGGGCGTGTATAAGTGCACCATCGTGCCTACCGCCCCTGTCCTATTGTCCCCATTTATTCCTGTATTCTTACTCATGTTTATTCTTATGCCTGTTATCTTGTAAGCGATTGACAAATCAAATAAATAATAAATAAATAAGACTACCAGATGCTGAGGTGGAGGACATATAGATCCTTCAACCAATGCAATACAAAAAGGAAACACTCAGAATGTATTTTAAGGGGACTTTGTAGCTTAAGGAAGTGGGTGTCTGATGTCATCTTGTTTCGCTTCTGTTATTTCACTTTTTATTATAGCCGAGTCAGCCTTGCAAGCAACGAGGTCAGTGCCAAGCAAGGCTGGTCAAGTTCTCACACCACAGCTAGGAAAACAGAGCAGGAGGTGAAGCAGAGTCTTCACCCTGGAGAAGATTGTTTAAATAAAAGAAAAAGGAATTTCAAGAAGATAATGGCTTGCAGAGATCTGGTGGCACATTTAGGGAAAACTTCAGCTGGTTTAATATCAAAGAAAGGCATAAATGACATCTTTGGTCAACTGTCAACCAGGTTTGCAGAACAGCCCAGCTTTTGAATGGGACTATGTGCAAATATTGTCTTGTAACCACTTTGATTTCTAGAAGAAGACTTCGGGCCTCCCTTCACAAAAGGTCGCTTCCAAGCTACGTTCTCCATCTTCCCAAGATTCCAGTCGGAAAAATTCCAGGGCAGATGCCCTCAATGGTCTCTTGACTTGGAAAACGTTGAAGGAGATGGTTGAGAGCACCAAGCAGATAGCTTTGATTGCCTCCCGCCGTCGATCCCAAGTCCAGGAAAAAGACCTTGGCAGGCAGATCTCCTCTGCACACTATTTTGGGGAGGAGAAGATGGGGTCTCAGCAGCCCAGTTTCACTCCAGAACATCGTTCCAAAGGCACCAGCACCATCAATGGCCTTGGAGGAATGTTCCAGAGGAAAGTTTGGACACACCACCAGGCTCAGAATGAAGGAGACAAAGAGCCATCTTGGGAAAGGAAAACAGAGAAGAAAGGACCTCTCGAACCTACCTCCTCTAAGGTAAGATGGCTTTACAGAGAGCGAGCATAGCATGGACCTAGAAATCAGATGAAGTTATAGTGGCTCTAAACCAGGGGTTGGCAACCTTAAACACTCAAAGAGCCATTGGAACCCGTTTCCCACACAAAAGAAAACACCAGGAGCCACAAAACCTTTTCCCCGTGCCTGACTATTTCCTGAGCAGCCACAAAAATAGCATATGTAGTTGAATTAAACATTCTTGTCAACTCATAAAATATTTCTATGGTCTTTTTAGAGTTGCCAACAGAAAGGGAGGGGGGAGCATTGCGGCAGCTTGGAAATCAAAAGTGCATTCCATAAATAGTTTTCAAAGATAGTAACTAGGTGACTGAAGTTTCTGCTGTGCAAATATCTAACTGGAGAGCATGATTGATGACTCTTGGCTATGGATGTCTCCCAATGGAGAATATGAATTAGGATACACCCAGGGGGTGGGGGGAAAAACCAGGGTCAAGGGTGACAATGAATGATGTGTCTCAGAGTCAACTATACCCAGGCAGTGCTGGACAGTTTAACTCCCAATAAATCCTTTTGAAGTTTGGGAAGTTTGGCTCGAGACTCATGATTTAAATGGGGGTAACTGCCAGAATCCTGACATCTAGCCAACTCTGAGACACATCATTCATTGTCACCCTTGACGTTTTCTTCTGAAACGTTTCTTGGATTTACCCTTGGTTGGCCTAGCGCAAGGCTCTTCAAACTTGGCAAGTTTAAGACTTTGTGCACTTCAACTCCCAGAATTCCTGAGCTAATATGACTGGAGGAGGAATTCTGGGAGTTGAAGTCCACGAGTCTTAAAGCTGTCAACTTTGAAGATCCCCTGGCCTACCGGGAGTCAAAAAGCTCAATAAATCACGCGCCGGTGGGTGTCACACACACGTTGGCAGCTGTGACACATTATTTTGAGCAACAGGGAGCCGCAGCAGAGGGATGAAAGAGCCACATGCAGCTCCAGAGCTGCGGGTTGCTGACCCCTGTTCAGATGAAAGTACATCAGATGAAGAACCACGGTTACATCACAGTCAGGAAAGATAAGTCCCAGTGAAAGTGCTGTCAGATATCCTTATCTTAATGATCCAATCTGGATCAATAGCTTTTTTTTTTTTTAATCCCCTTACAGATTTTGCAAATGAAACACTGGTCTCCCTCCAGTCAGGACAGCAATGGCCCAGGAAACCAGATGCCACCAGCCAAAACCTCAGATGGTTCTACAGGAAATCTTTTCCATATCTCTCCAGTTCCCACAAAACTCAAGTTTCCCGTTGGACATCAAACAGGTAGAACATGACCTAATGGGAGACCTTTGGGCTTCTTTGCAGAGATCTAGAACAAGGGTGAAGAACCCATGACCCTACCTTTGTAGGACACAACATTATCCTTGACCAATCACCATGCTGGCTGGAACTAATAGACCTTGGAGACCAATGAAACCTAGGAGATGTAGAGTTCTTAACTCTTGGGTTGATTTGCAACCATGATTGTCATACTGCTAGACCTCAGAAGTTTGGCACAGCTGGAGAAACAGATGAGGTTGAAGGGATGATCTCTGTTTTGCACTGCTAATGGTTATGCTGGCTGGGAATTGTGGGAGTTGCAGCTCTCACCCATCTTGAGAGGATCTGGAGGAAAGTTGAGAGAAGAGAAGTAGAGAGTTGGTCACATCAGTGCAACTTCTGGCCTAACGCAGACGAGACCACTTCCACGTCTCCATTAACCTCTTCCTTTCTTCTCCTTCTTCCCCACGAAAGAAGAAAACCCACCACAGGTCCTGACTGTAAACCACACGGGACCTAGTAAAATCCAGCGGAGTAATCCCAACCAACCCCGAGGCCAAGTTCTCCAGAAACAAGTCAAAGGTCAGTCTGGGAAGGCCAATGAATGGAGTCATCTACCTTCTACCGTCCTTGATCAGGTTAAGGTTGAAAGCCACAACTGTGCGATGTGTGATGTTTGGTGGGTAGCATATTGTGCAAAATCCAGCCCCAGAGCTCCAAGCTGGAAAAAAAAAAAAAAAGAGCAACCCCTGATGTCACAAATTCCCAACTTGTGAGTCTGAGGACTTGTGTTATTATTACTCTGGAACATTCTGTTTCCCACAGCAGCATTCTGGAAAGACATATAAGGAAAAGGAATGGAGAGGGAAGAGGAAAAAAAATATTTATTTATTTATTTATTTATTTATTTATTTATTTATTTATTTATTTATTTATTTATTTGATTTGCCAATTGTTTACAAGATAATAAGTATAAATGTATACATAGTTGTGAATACATGAAATGGTTACATATAAGAAAAATAAAAGAATAAGAGAAACAATAGGACAGGGACGGTAGGCACGTTGGTGCGCTTATGCACGCCCCCTACAGGCCTCTTAGGAAAGGGGTGAGGTCAATAGTAGACAGTCTAAGGTTAAAGTTTTTGGGGTTTGGGGAAGAAACTACAGAGTCGGGTACTTCCAAGTCTTAAAAGATGCTATCTTTCTTTTTCTTTTTTTATGATGGGGAAGGAAGACAATCTGAGTCTCTTGATGGACTTGGTGGTGGGGGATTGTCCTTCGCCGTGCTGGCCTTCCTTCCTGCCGCTGATGGACCCACAGAAGAAGCTCCACACCCCGCGGTATTTATCACGCCCACCGTCTGGTTTGCTTTTCTCCCGCAGGGCCTGTTGAAAGCACTGGTGGATATCAGAAACAGCAGCCCGTTACTCACTCGAAGAAGCCAGGAATGCCGAAATAATAACCGCGACTGGGAGGGAAGCTGCGGTTATCAGTCCAGCCCAGAAGGATCTTCTCTCACCAAGATGCTGAGATACAGGAGGAGAGAAGTTGGTGGATTGTGTGAATGGAAGGAGCAGAGTGTGATGACCCAAAGGGACGTGGCGAAATGGCAACACAGTCCAATAAGCAAGAAGAGTCCCTTTATTATCTCCAACTTGGCCCCCAGTGTCCAGGTTACCTTCGGCCTGGAGAAAAACTCTCCCAGCCTTTAAGTGGAGGAAATTCAGTCCGAAAACAAAGCACATACAAACTGTAACTAAAAATCCACACAAATTACGCTGCAGTAATTAACTGGACAGGGTAGGAGAAGGAATTGAAGACTTGAAAGGCCAGCAAAACACACACAGTTGGGAAGACGCCAGGAACACAGATAAACCGCGATGATACAAGATAAATTCACATTTGCTCCCAACAGCCTGCTGCGCGCAGCTTGTCTTTTTTAAACACTGAGTTCCCAGCTGCAGCTAATGAAGGGAATCAGGGCCCTTTCCTCCCCCATAAGCCACGCAACTCACATTGCTCCCTTCTCTGTTCCTCCCTGTGTGCTCTAGGATGAAGAGGGGTGGGCCTGGGTCTTCTTCTGAACTCTCTCTCCCTTGTTCTACCTCTCTCTTGCTCTGCCCAACTGGACTTTGCCCTTCCCCAGTTTCTTCCATAGCCAACGGAGCCACACTCCCACTCCCTGCCAACTGCTCTGCCTCCCCCTCCGAATCAGATTCCGACAGGGGCATGACACAGAGACTCTGGGTTTACGCTGTGGCCCCTGAACCAAAGGGCCACCCATACAGTCCCCAAGAAAAAGAGTCCCGCTCTACTGGATTCAGCTAAGGCCATCTTGAGTCTCTCATAGTGGCCAACCAGAAACTTCTGAGATGCCCACAAGCAAAGAGACGGGAGATGTTCCTCTCTCCCATCACTGCTACACCACAGCTTGTTCCCAGCAGAGAGGTAGCATGGGGTCTTCCGCATTAATAGCCCTGAATAAGCCACGCCCACCCTGTATGGCAGTCCCCAACTTATAACAGTTCATTTAGTGACCGTTCAAAGTTACGACGGCACTGGGGGAAAAAGGGACTTACCCTCATTTTTCATAACTTTCAACCATGGTAGCTTCCCCACGATCACATGACCCACACATTCCAACGCTCGGCAACTGACTCATAGTTATGACCGTTACAATGCTCCAATCCCCTTTTGCAACCTCCAGACCAGCAAAGTCAGTGGGGAAGACAGCTTAACTTTACAATCCTGTTAACAACTCCACAACGGCGGCGATTCGCTTAGCAACTGCGACAACAAAAGGTCGTAAAACGGGGCAAAACTCCCCTAAGCGACGCCTCGCTTATTAGCAACAGAAATTTTTGGCTCAAAATTTGTGATCCATATGTCAAGGACTACCTGTAGTACCATTTTAGGGGGGTGCTGTCATATTTCCGAACAGTGGGGCCAAACTCACCTCACCAATGTCTTGCTTAGCAACAGAAATTTGGGGGTGGTCATAAGTGGAGGACCAGCTGTACCAACTGTATTTATCCAAGCCCCAATTGCCTTTCCTAGCGTGCATTTGCCTGGGTTCAGGAGAAGGGATAAGGGAGGCCTTCGTGACCATGGACTGCCGCAGAGAGCAAGAAATGGCTGCACTGGGTCCCAGTTCAAATTCCCAACGCTCAGTGAGCACCTCAGGGCCTTCGCTCTCCCCGCCCCCCCTTTCAGGCCCACCTTCCTCACCGGGCAACGGTTGAGGTGGATGTTACCAAAAAGGACACCACATCCGCACCTACATGTCCCTCAAAAGGAAGCCAAGAGCGGCATGTGAATAACAGGAAGTGCATGAATCAACCGATCCTTCTTCTTCTGTTTGCAAGTCAAGGGCCTGATCTTGTTTTTCTCCCGGGGTGGAGGACAATGAAAGAGTCATAGCAGGTTGGTACAAGGCACCTAGAAACTGGGAGATGGTGAGTTCTAGTCTCGTCTTAGGCCTGAAAACCAGCTGGGTGACTTTGCACCGATCACCAGGAGACTGTGAGTTCTAGTCGTGTCTTAGGTACGAAAGCCAGCTGGGTGACTTTGGGCCAATAGTTTGCTCTTAGGCATGAAAGGGAGCTGGGTGACTTTGGGCCAATCACCAGGAGACCGTGAGTTCTAGTCCCGTCTTAGGTACGAAAGCCAGCTGGGTGACTTTGGGCCAATCACCAGGAGACCATGAGTTCTAGTCCCAACCTCTAGTCTAGTCTATTCCGAAGCGGATAGTATCTTCACAATACATGAAGCCTGCTTGGGATCAGAGTGAAGATACCCGGTGAAAAACTAGGCGCTGGGGGAGTTCTAGTCCTCTCTTAGGCAGTGGGACTTGCGCCAGTCCCTCCCGCTTAGCCCTGGGAGGAGGAGGAGGAGGAAGAAGACAAGGGCCCTTCCAAGAAAACTGCAGGGGCATTAAAACAAAAACTCCCCCTCCCCACTTGCTGGGAGAAAGTACTTAAAGCCCCTTCGGGATGGGGGGGGGGGGGGGGTGGAAGCGAAGATCGGAGTTGCAGCCCGACTTCTCCTGCTCTCCCCGAGCGCCGCGGGGAACAGCCCGCCAGCATCCGCGGAGCGCAGCGCAAGCCTAAGCAGGCCAGGCTTACCGGCTCTTGCACGGCCGGGCCTCGTCGCGCAGCGCCCGGGGAGCGGCAGGCGGCGCTTTCGTTGGCTGGGAGACCCCCGGGCCGGGCCGGGCTTCTCGCGAGAGGGGCGGCGCAGCCCCAGCCGGAGGAGGAGCTGCGGCCGGGCTGGCCGGAGAAAGAAAGCGGGACGCGCCGCAGCCGAAGGCGCGATCCAGGCAGCGGGGCCGGCCGGAGGTGAGCGGGGATGCCGGGCGCAGGTGGGCAGGGGATCGGCCATGGGGGTGGGAGGGTAGGGGGGCTGGATGCAGCGGCGGCGCCTTCTTCCTCCGCGCCCACGTGGGCGCATCTTTGCAAAGCGCATCGCGCCCTGCCTTGCCTTGCCTTGCGCTAGCCTCTTCCCACTGAATTCCCTCTCCCGGGCGCGCACCTTGGCTGGATCGGAAGCTAAAACCCCGCGGGGCGTGGGATCCCCTCCTCTCACAGCCGGGGTTGATATACGAAAGATGCGCAATAAGGGCTTCCGCGGGCGGCCGCTTGGAGATCCCCTGCCACCCTTGCGCCATCCTCGCTTGGGTTTTTTCTCCCCTTGAGCAGGAGCGGCTGCTGGCTGGGGAGGGGGGCATCTCGACTCCAGATGCCCTCTCTCCCCCACCAGGCCTGGCTGGTGGCTGCCTGGATCTGGGGAGGGGATCATGCTTCCTCCCGGCATCCTTGGGGTGGGGCTGGGATGAACACCTGATACAGGTGTGTCATGATCTCAGTCAACCGATGGTGCATCCTCCATGCTTGCTGGAGGTGGTGTGAGCTGGTGGCATCACAACACCCATCTGTGGTTGTGTCTTGGGATGGACGCCTGTGGCAGGGGTGTATTAACCATTAAGCAGACTACGCACGAGACCCAAAGAGGGCACCACAAAGTTGAGAATATGGCTTCATTTGTACAGGGCACCAAGATTTGCCAGTGCTTAGGGGCACCGGTGAGTCTTAATCAGCCACTGGGCTGTGGTACAAAGCTGGCTTGTGATAAAATACAGGGAGGAGGGGGTCAGGCTTTGTTCTTTCCCCTTACTGGTGAAGACACAACCCTGGTTAGGATTGGAATGGCCGGAGAATAGGGCCATCCCATTGGCACATCGTGCTGAGATAAGCCACGGCTTGCTTGAGTTAAGCCAAAGGTCTTCCACCTTGGCAAGTTTAAGACTTGTGGGCTTCAACTCCCAGAATTCCTGAGCTAACATGACTGGAGGAGGAGGAATAATTCTGGGAGTTGAAGCCCTCAAGCCTTAAAGCTGTCAAGTTGGAAGACTTGCCACGATGGCTGGGTTAAAGTCTAAAGCTTCAAATTATGGTTCATAAACCTGGCTGGCCAGCTCCCCACATGGGGCTACCCTGAAGCACACGATGGGTCTTAATATAACCGGTTGGCCACGTTGTCTTTTGCAAATCATGAAGGGCAGGCTTTGTTGTGGGAGATCCAACTGGGGGTGCCAAGATTGGCTGGCTGGGGAACTCTTGGAAGTCCACACAGGTCTTAACATTGACCAGGTTGGACATCCCTGAGTTAAACCAGCTGCGTCTCTGGCTGAGAATGGTGATTTCTCGGTCTTGGGCTTCTGGTGGTGTGCACACATCTTTCAGGAAACGAAAAGGAGGAAGTCTAGAGCTTATGCGAGCCCTTTCTGAAGAAATGGGACACCCAACGCAGCTGTGGTGCTCCATGTTCCTTTGGTGGGACAGCGGTTGCTTCATTGCAGTTCTTGTCATCTTTGTGCACGGGGTGCTTGTAACAGCTCTCCTTTTTTGGAGAAAGAGGGAATGATCAAGCATAAAGCTGGAGGCGCCTGGATATCTTCACCCTGCCTTTGAAGACTTCTGCGTGGCTCGGGTCTTCAGCGCCCAGGACACTAGGAGGAGTTGTCCTGGAGAAGAGCAAGGAAGGAGGAAAGCTAGGTGGCCCTTAGCTCAGGGTATCCATCCTTGGCAACTTTAAGACCCGTGGACTTCAATTCCCAAAATTCCCATTTATTTGGAAATAAAATCTGCAGTTTGGAACATATATAAGGTTAGGATTTAGAGAGCCACCTCGGTCTAGTGGTTGAGACACCAGGCTGGAAACTGGGAGAGTGTGAGTTCTAGTCCTACTTTAGCCATGAAAGACAGCTGGGTGACTTTAGGCCAGTCACACTTTCTCCATCCAACCCTCCTCACAGGGTTGTCGTAGGGACAATAGGAGCAGGAAGGAGCATTAGATAAGCTTGCCACCTTGAGTTACTTATAAAAATAATGAGCCAGAGATCTGTGCTTCGCTACGAAAATAGGTGGTCGGGCTTAGTTTTTGGGGAGGAAAATAAGGGGAGAAAAAAATTCTGCTTCTGCTTACCAGCATCCATCGGTATTCACCTGGCTAGGCGTCCTGTCGGTATGTGAGAGAGTTGAGGGCTGTTTGGAAACTGAAACAGTATTTGCTGTGTGAGCAAGAAGGAGACAGCAAGGAGCCTGGGCGTGGCTTAGCTCAACTGTTCTGTATTAAAGCTGCTTGGTGCTCTGAAACTGAAACTCCTCCGCTTGTGTTTTGCATTTGGAAAAGATTTCTTTCCAGGTGGAGAGAGGGAGTAGTGCTCCTTAGCATCAGAGCATAATAATAATAATAATAATAATAATAATAATAATAATAATAATAATAATAATAATAATAATAATAATAATAATAATA